GTCTTCAGTGTCACATGATCCTTCAGAAATCACTCTAATATGAGGATCTGATGCTCAAGACACATTTTTGAGTATTATCAGTGTTGAAAACAGGTGTGCTTCTGCTTCATATTTTCGTGGAAACCGTGATATAGTATTTTCAGGATTCTTTCATGAATAAAAACTTAAATCAAACAGATATAGAAATCTTATAATCTTTTGTAACATTATAAATGCATTTACTCTCACTTTTAAACAAATTCAATGTGTCCTTGCTGAATAAAAATATGACTTTCTTTTTTTATCTTTACTGACCGAATTAATGAAGTTTATTTTTTATTCCTAGTTAAGCCAACGCTGCCATTGCTAAACGGGTTGTATCAATTTGCACATGCTTTATATATGTTCTTACTTAATTGCATAATTGAATATTTTAATAAGACTCGTGTGACAATGCTATGTCAAATAATTTATCAATTACAAATTATAAGCAATATCTGACAGCTGGTGGTGCGATAGAACAATTCGTAGTGTAATGTTTGCCACTTCACTTTATTGCCTCTAGGAGTCGCCAACGGACAAAAATCACGACAAATATACGTACGCCAGACATGAAGTTTACTTGGAGGAACGCACATTCTTACGTTAATTTCACTGTTAGTACATCTGGCCGTGAACGTGAAAGCTGACGTACGCCGTGTTTTTGTTATAGCACTAGATGGCCTTATAGCTCTATAATGAGCTGTTCCGCTGGGTCCTAAAGTCAGTTTCTCTTAAGTATGCATTCAGATACACATGTAGACATTTTAAAATATTTTTTTGGTACAGTTTTAGCATTTTTAGTTTGAATTTTGAGCATTTTTAGGTTTTTATACGTGTACTGAAGCATTCCTCGACCTCCATTCATTCCTAAGGGGGTCAAATTGACCCACGAGGGAAGGATTTGTAACTTTTTTAATTTAAATTGCAACCTTGAATTTCTTTTGTGTATTTGTGGTTCAAGTGCGACAAAAGTCCTGGGGCCTGATGTATAAACGTTGCGTACGCATTTTTCCACGCACAAATCGGGATTTATAAAAAATAAACTTGGCGTAAATAAGTGTGCACCGTAAGGATGCTCTTGACTGTGCGTATGCAGTCTTTTAGAAGAGTATGTGTTTTGGCGACACCAACTGGCCCAAATAGCAATAACTATTTAAAATGAAAAACTTCTAAATTATCCTATTACATCACCCAATAAATCAAATTGCATCAACCTGAATTATCATTATCAGCATTCTTAACCAGGTGCAAATACTATTTTTGCGGGCCCATTTGCCATTGCATGTTTAAAACAATAATATCTTAGTAAAAACCTAAAGTAATATTGCCAAACTATATATCATTTGAAAGCTTAAAATCTCTAGTTTTCATATTTGGTGGCTGTTATCTAAAATATATTACAGAGGAGCAGAAATTTATCAATTTGCAACAAGAATATTTCATATTCATTAGGAGTATTTAGGCCTTTATTTTGAAATAACAATAAACATGAAAAATCATGAAAGATTGGTAGAAACCTCAGTTTGTTTTCATGCCATGAGTTCAAAAGATAACACCAATTCCATTTTATGAGAAAAAAAGGTCTGAAAATGTTTTAAATATAAAGAAAAATGTATGGATTCTCAATTTGTAATGCGGCTGCGAGCTATAACGCTATAACGCAGTCTTTATGCATTTATTAGAGGTTTAATTCAAATCAAATACTGCCAAACCACCCCTACTACTTCTGAATAGGATGTCTACTTCATAAATTGTATGAAAATTATGGAAATACATGGTTCAGATCACTCAAAACATATGAAAATGGAGGCGCCCTTATATGGGCAGTAATGGAGTCTAGTGAAAAAGTTTGGTACTGCGCCCAAATAAAATCTTACTGAAAGCTCATTTTTTGAGATATCAACCTAAAATTTGGAATACAACTTGTTCAGATATTTGACTTTAATTTTCTTGCAGTTTTAGAGTAAAATATATTTTGTAATATATATATTTTATATAAAATATTAATCATTATATTTTTACATTACACAATTTCATAAACTCAAACTTATATAAATTTTTTTCTGTTTCATTTTTTACAATTTATAGACTTCTACAATAATCTGGAAAATGTCTTCTTTAAAACAAGACCAGCCATAGGTCTATATTCCAAAGCATTCCTGAATTACAACCATTTAAGTTTGGATAGTGATTTTTATGTCTATGCAAAAAAAAGGGGGGTGCCAGTTAACAGGATAAATATGTAAATCGTCACCTTGGATTCTATTCGACATTTCTTTCAAAATTGAGTTATTCACATATTCTTTTTCTGTGACAACTTATTTACACTATGTGATGTTTTTTATATATATTTTTAATTTAGATAACAAAAATCTCAATACCCCAGACCCGCTCAGAATGAAGACGGAACCTTATAATGGCGAAATGTAGAGATTAAGATGAATGAAATGCTGTAGAAGTATTGTTCACAGTTAGTTCATGCTAACTAATGAAACCTCATTGTAAAGTGTTTCCTATTACTTGTTCATTTGTCACATTTAACATGAGAGATGATGAAAACACTGATATAGGCCTACACTACTGTTCAAACATTTAAGGTCGGTCATATTTTGTAATATTTTTGAAAGACGTCTATTTTATTCACCAAAGCTGCATTTATTTGATCAATAATACAGTAAACACACAGTGTGACATTTTAGTGTGAAATTACAGTATATTACAGGTTAATAACGGCATTACTTTCACAGTAAGATTTTACTTGCAATTTTGGTCAAGTCTTTACAATTGTACTGTAAACAAGCTTTGTTTTATCATCAGTTTACTGTATTAGAGACACAAAAATGCCTAAACAACATCATGCTGTATTTCTGCGACTATGAAGGTACCCAGCATGCAATGCAGCATGAATAGGTTACGTAGAGTTCAGCAGTTTGTAAAGTTTTCCTTAATTCCAACTTACCTCGATGTGACAGAAGGACTGCCACCAGACATCATGCATGACGAATCAGAAGGCGCACTAGCTTTAGTAGTTAAAGGTGCTCTATGTAACTTTTAGCGGCCTCTAGTGGTGATGTTTCAGATTGCAACCAAATTTTACAAGAGCGCTCGTGCTCAAACTCATAGACAATACCGTCTATTACGCAAATATCTCGGCGAATACTAGAAGGATTTGGCGTGCACCGAGCTCGTTGGGACCATCTAGTCGAGCTGAAAAGAACCATATAAGTTCCATAGTTTTTGGTGGTGTTTTCGCGGAGATATTAGCAGAAAACCATCGGGCGCGCTGCAAAATTGCGGACGCCGGTGACGTCACGACCTCAGAAGAAAATCGCTCGTATCTCTGGAACGCAAAGACCCAGAGAGCTCAAATTCGGGGGAGGAGGTCCCAGGGGAACCCTTGCCCGAACGCTAGAGTGGCGGGCCTCGGGGATGCCCCCTACCGGATCGCCGTTCGCTGGGACCCCCGGTTTCGAACGGCTATAACTCGGGGAGCCGGGCGAGTTGGACCTCGGGGGTGGGCTCGTTCGAAAGGCCCCGTCCAGCACTACGAACGATTCGAGTCTTGGGAATATTGATCAAAGATTGACTGAGATATAAGCCGAAAAACGTGCGCCTTTAACCGGACGTAACTCCCTGACCGTCTACAATAGACTGTATATAAGGAGAGAGGCTCGGGAGCGCGCATGCACGTCACATCCGGTGGATTTCGCGGTAAATCCGACCCGGAGACTTCACATAGAAATAGGAATACTGGCCTTCAGAGGTAATAGCAAAACTCGACAAGTGGATCATTTTAATGTGTGATTACAACCCCTTCACACACAGGCAATAAAAAAAGGATTCATTTTAGTAGAAAAGTTACATAGAGCACCTTTAATAGTTTTATGTGAGGCACACAGAGATAAGCACAGGGAATAAATGCTGAAATGAGCCAATTTTCCATTGTTCAAAAATGACAGAGACAAACAAACCAGCTCATCGGAGAAGACTTCACACAACTCCAGCGTCTCGGGATCAGCTTTGCACCAAAGCTGCTTATTTAGGCTCTTCCGGTGTCACTCCGCTGGAGTCTGTTCGTACCGCAGCGCTGTCTGTCTTCTGTGTGGGTGAACTGCAGACTCACACCCACAGTGAAAGCAGAGCCTGACACCACAGTGAAAGAGCTCTCGCACCCAAGTGTCTTCGTCTAATGTATTATACGAGTCTTATTTCATCTTTTCGTCTGCTGCGTTTTGAAAGTAAAACTCTGTATTTTAAGAAAGTATCTAGCACCTTAAATATACACTCACTTTTTTAAACAAAATTTAAACAATTAGTCAATACATTATCAATCCTTCTTCCAAAACATGTTTTTGTGTTACCCTGATTCACTACGGTACGCCTATTATAAGTGTTTATTAACAAACTGTGCATATAAGTCACTCGCCAGTGTCTCGTCATATCTGTAGACAGAGTAAAGTTGCTCCGTGTGTGTGTGTTTGTGTGTTTGGTGTGTGTGTGTGTTTGGTGTGGGTGTGTTTGGGTTTGGTGTGGGAGTGTGTGTGTGTGTTTGGTGTGAGAGTGTGTGTGCGTGTTTGGTGTGGGAGTGTGTGTTTGTATGTATGTGTGTTTGGTGTGGGAGTGTGTGTTTGTATGTATGTGTGTTTGGCGTGGGAGTGTGTGTTTGGTGTGGGAGTGTGTGTTTGGTGTGGGAGTGTGTGTTTGTATGTGTGTTTGGTGTGGGAGTGTGTGTGTGTGTGTGTTTGGTGTGAGAGTGTGTGTGTCTGTGTGTGGGAGTGTGTCTGTGTGTGTTTGGTGTGTGTGTGTGTGCGTGTGGGAGTGTGTGTGCGTGTGCCTGTGTGTGTGTGTGTGTGTGTGTGTGAGTGGCAGGGGTTAGTTGTCACAGCGAGTGAGAAAGGTTGACATGTTCCCAGAGTTTACAGGAAGAGCCACACACACACACACACGATCCAGACGCAGCCAGTGGGAAACGCTTTATTCCCTGGTGAAACTGATGAGACGACTGGAGTATTATACAGGCAAACACTGGAAGAGGCGAGCGCCGTCTCCCACAATCCTGCTAAACATGAAGACACATCCGTGATTTAAGCGAAGGCACATGGGGAACTTTCAACAGCACAAACATACGCTCATGTGAGCTTCCTTTGGCCTAGTTTATGTGCAAGAGTTCATATTTCAGAAGCAGAGGAATGAATCTGAGATCATTGTGTGTGTTATTTCCCCTCGGTCATCTCCAGCTGATCCGGCGAGCGTGAGGTGTGTGTCAGATGAGCTCAGACTCGTGGCGCGCCAGAGCGGCAGGAAGAGTCTCTGAGCAACGGCCCGGGAAGTGAAACCTGCAACCAGATCAGATCTCATGAACGCCACATTCCCCACTGCTATCGGCCCATTACTACGGTTCAGAAGCAGCAGTATAGTGGTGTTCCTGGCCCAGGTCACGAGCTCACCTGAAGCGTGCTGTGTTCGGGGTCCTCTTAGTGTTGAACTCGGCCACGGGAACACCTCGGGACGCCACCTGTGGGCCGAACACGGCTGCCGGATACACCACAGAGGACGTGCCCACCTGAGAGAGGACAGGGGCACACCTCAGACTCAGATCAGCCTCGGCAGTGTGTGTGTGTGTGTGTGTGTGTGTGAGCTGAACTGACCACCAGACACAGGTCACAGGTCTCCAGCTCCTGCTCCACTGCAGTGAGGATGTGGGAGTCCAGGGTCTCCCCGAACCAGATGACGTGAGGCCGCAGCAGCCCGTCACAGCCCTTCTGCTCACACCTGAAGAAGAGGAGGAACAGGGTCTCACACGGGCAGGCCTTGTTGGTCACTGGCATCGATTGCTCCTGTCTCACGCTGATCGATTGCTCCTGTCTGCCTTCTGCTGGTTTGCGTCTGTATGCTCCGTATACCTTTCTGTTTTGAATCTCTATTTACTATCGTTCCTTGTTGTTTATATTGCTAAATATAACATACTCATCAACATATATAAGATATTGTCTAATATTGCCTATCACATTAATCTGACGCTAGCTTTATACTAAATCGTTATTGCTAGCACAACACGCTAGTATCTCGCTAGCCTGTTAATAACCTGCCATCCGTCTCATGCGCGCTCGCACGTTTCACAAGTCTATCAAACAACTGTGGTGAGTATGTTATTGTCACTTGCGTGTCACATGTATAGCATAGCCTTCTCTGTCAGCACTGAGGGCTACACATGTGATAAATGCAGGGAGACAGTCAGGCTGAAGGAGAAGATTTCAGAACTACAGACACGCATCCAAACTTTAATCTGTACATTGTTCGGCTCCGGTGACCGTTAGTTATTTTAATATACATATAGATAACGAAAAAGACGCATTGCGATTGGCCTTTAGAGACATTCTGAACTCTATTGGAGTTAGACAACACGTGTCAGGACTCATTGTCGTAATCATACTCTAGATCTAATACTATCACATGGAATCAATGTTAATGCCGTTTAGGGATGTTAACCGATGACCGTTTAACCGATGGTTGACCGTCTCAACGTTAACCGATCAAAGTTCTCGGTGGTCGGTTAAAAAAAAAAGTGATCTCTAAATTAGGCTATTATAGACAGTAGACTAAACGCTACTACAGTTAGCCATCTCATTCCAAGATATTTTTGTGTGAAGTGAACAAATCCCTCACACTCAATTTTTCATAACTCGCCTGTTTGTACTTAATAAACCAATAAAAACATTTGGCGCGAGGTCACAGCGTTTGGGTTCGCGCGCTCACAAGGTTTGCGAAAAGTAAAGCCTACAGGCTAAAACACTCGAGGTTAGAGCCAGGGCAGACGACAGGATGAAGCGTGCAAAGAAAAGTAGTGTGTGAGACCATTTCACCAAAAAAACATGACATAGTTGTAAGTTGCAACTTGTGTGATACAGTGCTTACAGTCACATCATCTATGATGTATCATCTGAAAACGCGACACCCGCAAGCCCCATGTCTGTCTGTGTGTTTGCATTTTGATTATTTCGAGAACGTTTATCCAATCGACTTCACAAGGGAGTGCAGTGTCGCATTTGGTGCAATAGATAGACACGCGAGACTCGGCACGTTCAGAATTAATACACTTTTTATAAACTACAGAACAGCTTGCGCGCGGGAAGCGGCGCGCCTCGCGGGTAGGGCTTATATGCTCCGATAACGGACACTGCACTAGTGTTATAAAACATGTGTCAACAGTTCTCTATAAAACGTGTTTTATATCACTATAATGCGTTCTCGGAGCGTAAGCCCTGCCCGCGAGGCGCGCTGTTCTGGCGCAGGTCTGTTAACTTAAGCAATAGGCTACTTTTAATAAAGTAGTCTAATATTTTTTCTGACTAACAAATTACTGTCAAAGTAAAGGGCAGATTTAAATAAATAAAAACGAAATTTCAATAAAGAAAAACAAAATTTAATGAAATAAAAACAAAATTTAATGAAATAAAAACGAAATTTCAATAAAGAAAAACCGTTGTGTTATGTTTTAATAATTAGGCGGTGGCCTAACACCTGTCTGTGAGCTATTTGTTGGCTATACAGTAGGCTATTCTCATTCATAGATTAAAATAATTTTTCGTTTTAATGTTATTATAGAATAGCTGTAGGCCATTTTGGCCATTGTCTGTTATGGTTTATGAGATGTTGTCCTTAAAGGCACACTGTGGAACTTTTCAACCTTTATAATATATTACCAAAACCCATTGAGATGGTACATCGACTTACAATAGGTTGAATGACACGTCTGCCGTAGCCTGAAGGTGTCTGTATCCCTTTTACTAGCACTATGTAACTTCGGGGTTCGGGTAGGAACCCGAGCACAAAAAGAACTACAAAATTCGACCGCTTTACGGCATACGTCACTTCCCCCACCACCCACAACTTCCTCAGATTCTGACGTGAGTGCTCAACTCGCGTTTGATTGCCGTCTGTATGTTTTTGTCATGGCCGAACCAACAGCTACAAGGAAGAAGGCAAAGGTTTTGTCAGAGGACACTAAAAAAAAGAAAAGGGCATAGTGACAAATGAAAAGCCAGGACGAGGATCACCATTGGTCCAGCGTTCGCTCGCTGGCGTGAGCTAACGTTACACGTCTATGGAGCTACAGGAGGAGGATGGGTGCCCGACCGATGCTAACGCTTGCCTGCACACAAATGCCGTTTCCAAGGTGACACAGATAAATCATATAAGCAGTGTAGTATTGTCTGGTATTCCGGCCACAGCCGATGGTGTTATGAGTGTAATAAAATGCCCACAGCCCATTGTTCATTTCTACACACAAACACAGCCCGCCACAGTGCAGGGCTCGAACAAATAAAATCGACTCATGTCAAATGTAGCTGCTACATTAAATGTAGTGAACGTTCCCACGACTCAGTGCCCACAAACACTACAGACAACATGTCCCACGGTTTCTGTAAAACGAAACCAACACACATAGCTTACAGTCAGCTCAGGCCGACGGTGTTTTTAGTGCAGTAAATGTGCCCGGCCCGCCGTCCCGCGCCCACATTCACTCACAGACATGTTAGCACTAATGGTGTGTTCACACCGAACGCGAATTTAATTATTTCCGCGAGTAGATTACATACAAAGTCAATGCAAAGACGCGAATAGACGCATCATTCGCGCCAGGCGTTGCGAATGACGCGAATTGGGCGACGCGTTTGCCGCGAATGTCTTCCGCGCAAGTTGAAATATTTGAACTCGAGCGAATGTTCAAGCGTCTAACTAGACGCGATAGACGCGTATTTGACGCTCTATTCGCGTTCGGTGTGAACACACCATAAGCCCCACGGGGCTCGCCCCGCTCGCTCTCTCTCAGCAGACTGCTATAAGGGAATCGACCGCGGCCAGGCTGCCCGCCTCAAACACTGCAAGCACACATAATCTAAAGCAGTGGTTCTCAATCCTGGTCCTAGGGAGCCACTGCTCTGCACAGTTTGTATGTCTCCCTCATTTAACACACCTGATTCAGATCATCAGCTCGTTAGGAAAGAGCTTTATTAACTGAAGTGGGTGTGTCAGATAAAGGAGACATATAAAATGTGCAGAGCAGTGGCTCCCTAGGACCAAGATTGAGAACCACTGATCTAAAGACACGGGAAGCTGACCCACTGTCTATAGGCGGACCGGTTGACTTTTGCGACAGTGCTGCGGAGCTTGTGGCCTCTAGGGACGCTAGACGTGAAAGTTACAGGTCGAGCGCCACTAGTGGCCAAAAAGTTCCGCAGTGTGCCTTTAACAGAAGTTGACACTTGTCTTTTTGAAGAATAAAAATAAAAATATGAATTATACAAAAGAGTTGTGTCCGTTATTAGAAGGCACACAGTTAGTTAGACCTGCCTTGGCCGGTGCGCCTTTACGCATTCTGAAGGTGCCTGTTTTATCCATTGGGTTTATCGTGTTGCAGTCTATTAGGCAACATTCCGCATAAGATGGGCTTAGATTTGGAAATACATTACATCTACATTTCAGTGGTAACAGATAAGGCGATGATCATCATCTTTCTTTATTATTGTAAGCACTACCTCAAACTAAAGCCGTGTCTCTTCGGAGCTGTCATTTTCTTAAATGAGCCTCAGCCGCGGCAATGTTTCAAATGAGCTTCTAACTCTTGACTAACGCCTTTATTTTCAACGCGATCACCTTGTACCCAAACCACTTCGAAACTAAGGAGCCATTGGTCCTCCGATTACTTACAAGCTCGGCGCTGCGTTTGCGGGACTCGTTACTTTCGCGCTGTAGGGTTTTTTTTTTTTTAAAGTGACGTGAGCGACAGAGTTGCGAAATTGCAGGCGCGGCTCGAAATGGCTGCTATTTCAAATAGCGTAGCATATTTTAAACTAATCGGTTAACCGGTTTCAACCGGTTAATGAGGCTCGGTGGTCGGTCAAGACATTTTTTAGTTTTCGCCATCCCTAATGCCGTTGAAATTCTGCAGCAGAGCGATGACATCTCAGATCATTATCTAGTCTCATGTAAACTTCATTTAGTTTAGTCTGCAAAGCCGACTCCGTGTTATAAATACGTTAGACCTATAACTTCTGCCACTAAAGATTGCTTTATCAATAATCTTCCTAATCAGTTTCATCATCTCAGCATCCCAGATAGCTTAGAAGAACTCGATATTGCGACAGAAACGTTTAACTCTCTCTTTTCCAGCACTTTAGACGCAGTTGCTCCGTTGCGCTTAAAGAAGATTAAAGAAAATAGTCCAACTCCGTGGTACAGCGAGCACACTCATACACACACACACACACACACACACACACACACCCAGGCCCTTAAGAGAGCAGCCAGAAAAATGGAGCGCAACTGGAAGAAAACTAAACTAGAGGTATTTCGGATTTCATGGAAAGATAGCTCGATTGCTTACAGAGAGGCTTTAAAAGCTGCTAGATCTGCTTATTTTTCAACCCTATTAGAAGAAAATAAACACAACCCTAGGTATTTATTTGAAACAGTGGCTAAATTAACAAGAAATAAAGCTTCTACTTCTGAAGTTTCCAAAGAGCACATCAGTAATGACTTTATGAACTTCTTTACTTACAAGATTGATAATATTAGGGAGAAAATTATAACTATGCAACCGTCTACCACAGTATCGCATCAGGGAGTGCATTGTAGTCTCCCTGAGGAAAAATTCAATTCATTCATTACTATAGGAGAGGAAGAATCTAATAAACTATTTAATTCATCTAAATCAACAACTTGTATGTTAGATCCTATACCGACTAAGCTACTGAAAGAGATGCTTCCAGATGTTATAGATCCTCTTCTTACTATCATTAATTCATCTTTGTCATTAGGATACGTACCGAAAACTTTTAAGCTGGCTATGATAAAACCGCTTGTTAAAAAAAAAACGCAACTTGATCGTACAGAATTAATCAATTACAGGCCGATCTCGAATCTACCATTTTTGTCAAAGATACTAGAAAAGGCAGTATCCTCACAACTGTGTTCCTTTCTATAAAGAAATGATATCTGTGAGGATTTTCAGTCCTGATTTAGACCGCACCATAGCACTGAGACCGCTCTCATTAGAGTCACAAATGATTTGCTCTTATCATCCGATCGTGGTTGTATCTCGCTATTAGTGTTACTCGATCTTAGTTCTGCTAGATTATTGTAATGCTCTACTGGGTGGTTGCCCTGCACACATAATAAACAAACTACAGCTGGTCCAAAACGCAGCAGCTCGAGATCTTACCAGAACCAGGAAGTATGACCATATTAGCCCGGTTCTGTCAACACTGCATTGGCTCCCTATTAAACATCGTATACATTTTAAAATATTGCTGATTATTTACAAAATATATATAAATACAGTAAATGTGACTTGACTTGACACACACACTCATGAACACACACACTGCTCACTCCTGTGGAGGAGGAGGAGAAATAGAGTCTCTCACACACACACACACACACACACACACACTCATGAACGCATACAACCTGCTGTATGACATCCACCTCACGGAACTGGGCCACATTTGGAGGATTAAATCAAAATAGGGCTGTACACTCAATCAAAGACTGATATGAACGAGTGTGTGTGTGTGTGTGTGAATCTGAAGTCTGTCTCAGTTTGCTCTACATCACAAACTCCAGCATGTGTGACGCTCATCTGCGCCTCACCCTATAGCCCCTTTCACACAGAGATTATGGAAAGTACGCGGATAAAGTGACCCGGGTTTGTTTGGTTTCTTTTGGTTCATTCACACTGCCAGTGATTTTCCGGAATCAGAGAGTGCGTTCACACACAACCCGTTCAATGTTCCTAGGTCCCCAAGCCGGCATCGATCCCGGGTCGTGTTTGCGTTCACACAGAAGGCGTTCAGGCAATTTACCGGGATCAACGCGCTGTGTGAAAGGGGCTTATGAATACATGAACTTCATCTCCAGAGCTGCTCTGAGAGTCACTTCAGCAGTGTGTCAGCATTTCATCATCATCAGCAGACACACACACACACCTCTTCACTGCAAACCCGCAAAAATTAAGTTTTGTTTAACTTGAAGAAATTATGACAGGAATATATTACTATTGAACGGTAAAACCTACCACTTGAAGTAAAAGTTTTTTGTATTATTATTATTATTATTAAGGAATAATCATGTTTTAATTTTAACAGCAAACCTCTGTCACAATGCAGCTTTTAGTTTGCAAAATTTAAGAAATTGTTAAATTTAGTTTTAATTGTTCATGTTTTATGCTTTCATTTGATTACCACCATTTTTGAAAACAAATGTATTAAATCATAAATCCAGAAAAATTCAAACACGCGATGCAGAATAAAAAAAAAAATGCTTTATGATTATTCAAATTTAATTAAACCACTGTTTAATTAAACCACAAAATATGGAAAAAACAGAATTTGGGGGAAACTAAGATGGAATTCAAGACAAAATATAATTTTTTTTAATGAGGGCCCTAAAATGCAATTTTTGTTATACAATTTAATAAAAAATTATTAAAATTAAAGACGCATTCTCATGAGTAAAATGGATAAAAAACTTAAAACGGAAAAAAATGGAATCCAGAATAATTAAAACGGTATTTGGGGGAAAATAAAACGTATTTTATGAGGGACCTAAACATTTTTTTTGTTAAACTTTTAATAAATTGCTGTTTAATGGTTCAATGATTTCCATTAAGTTTAGTGAAAAAGGCATGCATAAGATTTACTTTTGACAAAATTAAAAGAAGAGATTTGGTGGTAAATATTTGACAGGGTGTGTGTGTCGGTGGTATTTGACAGGGTGTGTGTGTCGGTGGTATTTGATATGGTGTGTGTGTCGGTGGTATTTGACAGGGTGTGTGTGTCGGTGGTATTTGATATGGTGTGTGTGTCGGTGGTATTTGACAGGGTGTGTGTGGTATTTGATATGGTGTGTGTGGTATTTGATATGGTGTGTGTGTCGGTGGTATTTAATAGGGTGTGTGTGTCGGTGGTATTTGATATGGTGTGTGTGTCGGTGGTATTTGACAGGGTGTGTGTGTCGGTGGTATTTGATATGGTGTGTGTGTCGGTGGTATTTAATAGGGTGTGTGTGTCGGTGGTTTTTGATATGGTGTGTGTGTGTCGGTGGTATTTGACAGGGTGTGTGTGTCGGTGGTATTTGATATGGTGTGTGTGTCGGTGGTATTTAATAGGGTGTGTGTGTGTGGGTGGGATACCTGGGCAGGTCTTTGACAGGTATGAGTGCATCGGGGACATCAGGGTCAGGTGACCTGTCAGAGGATGAGAAGTGTCAGGTGACCTCGCATCACTGAAACATCATCACAGTGGTGTGGGTCTGCGAGTGAATGATGACAGGACTCACCCTTTGCCCTCCAGTGACGGACAGATGGGGCTCTTGTGATTGACCTCCACATCTCCACAGCTCACACATCTGGTCTGATACTGGTTACCTGCACACAGAAACCACAGATCTGTCCAACTAACACAAAAAAGGGCAGATTTTCATCCAAACCAAACCCAACTTCACTTGAAGTGCTGGAAACGCCACTTGCTGGCGACCCCTGCTGGTCACAACACTGGAAACGCAGCCCAAAGATGCATGAAAACCTTCAAACCAATTGCAAATGTTTTATTGAAAGTGTAAAATATGCGATCATTAACAAATCATCTATCATCATTAAATATGAAGTGTCATCATAATATGTTATTTTAATACATTTGAGGGATTTATGGTTTTATGGAGAACTTGTTTGTTTTTGTTATTCAGTCACAAAGGTATAAGCCCATCACTACTTTATGATCCTTTGCTAGAGAATTCATTCCGGCCAGAAAGTAAACGCGATGTATACCGTCAAAATGAAACAAACAGTATGAACTTTGCTATGTGTCAATTATGTGAGCTTGAGGAGTCAACACACACACACACAGATCCGGCTTGGATCCGGCGCGCTGGTGCAGCTGGTCGATGTTCTGTGTGATCGGCACCAGTGACCGGCCCTGAGAGCATGTGTGTGTGAGTAAGTGTGTGAGGAGGTGTGTGTGTTCTGACCGTGGACCTCCAGCACGTGCTTGGATCCGGCGCGCTGGTGCAGCTGGTCGATGTTCTGTGTGATCAGCACCAGTGACCGGCCCTGTCGGCTGAGCCGCGCCTCACACTCGGCGATGGCCCTGTGAGCGGCGCTGGGCTGGGCCTTCACACACAGCTCACGTCTGTAGTGGTAGAACTCCCACACCCTGCTGGGGTGACGGCAGAACGACTGCGGCGTGGCCAGATCCTGCACACACACACACACAGGCTCAACACTGGACTGCACTTTATTTTTCCTGAGAATGATAGATCATGTAATCGCATAGGACTGTAACCTGCTGAATTTGAACAACAGGGTATAACGACTTCCCAAAGTAGGTCGATAATTTTTTGGGTGTTTTTCCTCCACTTTGTTACTACAAAAAACCATCTGTTAACATATGTAATCCTAGGTTCCCTGAAGAGGGAACGAGACGCTGCATCGAAACGCTGTGGGAACGCCCCTGCGTGATTGCATCATGAAGCACGTTTGGAATCAGTCCAATGGCGAGACAGAACGTCACAGGCGGGTGACGTCATCAACCAGGAAACTATAAAGCACACCTGAACCAAACAGCGTCAGCTTCTGATAGGCTGAAGCAAGTCGATCGCGGGCATGCCGAGAGTATGGCAGGGCGACGCAGCGTCTCGTTCCCTCTTCGGGGAACTAGGGTTACATACGTAACCAAGATGTTCCCTTTCAAGGAAACTCGAGCTGCGCCGAAACGCTGTGGGAACGCTAATACCCACGACGCCATAAGAGCAAGTGTCAGTCCGTGTGAAGTCAGTGCGCACATTCAGACGAAAGCACCTGCGCCCCTGGAGTGGAGCAGAAGTTAAGAACGTAGAACCTCACGAATGTGTGCGGTGAGGACCATCCTGCCGCATCACAAACATCTTGTAAGGAAACTCCTGACAATAAAGCTTTAGAAGCAGCCATACTCCTAGTCGAGTGAGCTCAAACAGCCAATGGTGAAAGCTGACCAGCCGACTCGTAAGCAAGCGAGATGGCCTCGACCACCCACTTGCTCATCCTCTGCTTAGACGCTGGACACCCCTTCCTGGGTGACCCAAAGCAAACGAACAACTGTTCACAATTCCTCCACAGGGCAGCTCTGTGTACATAAGCATCTAAGGCCCTAACAGGGCAGAGCAGATTTAGTTTCTCTCGGTCTGACGTCAGAAAAGGAGGAGGACAGAAAGCCTGCAGTAGAATAGGTCTAACAGTATTAGTAGGGACCTTCAGAACATAGCCAGGCCTGGGGTGAAGGAAGGCCTTTACCATGCCAGGCGAGAATTCCAGGCACAAGGGTGAAAACGAGAATGCTTGAATGTCTCCAATTATCTTAAGAGACGAGATAGCAAGAACAAAGATAGTTTTGGAGGATGGTCTCCACAACCTCGGTTGAGAGATAGATAGATAGCCCTCAATGAAAGTAGCTTCCCCTGGGCCAACGGGAGGATCTGGTGAGCCAGCTTGTATAAGGGATCGCAGACCCCCCTGATGGTTTATATAAGAGACCACCGATGTGTTGTCTGACGGAACAAGCACATGATGGCCCCTCAGGTCTGGGAGGAAGTGTTTCAGAGCCTGGAACACCACCAACATTTCTAGACAATTTATGTGCCATTGGACGCTGCTGCCATCAGACCTAACAGTCTTTGAAACTGCTTTACAGTGAGCGGCTGGCCTAGCTTCACAGCTGAGAGAATCGAAGCAATACGAGCAGGAGACAGGCGTTCCACACCCAGAAAAGTGGTCCTATGTAGTGGAGATAACAAACTTTCCTTGGAATTCAACCTCATCCCCAACTTTATGATGTGAGCGAGAATGGTATCTCGATGCCGAACCGCCTGATACTTTGACTGAGCTAGAATCAACCGAATCGTCGTTCAGTATACGGATGCCCTGGAGTCGCAGCGGAGCCAGAGCTGCATCCATACACTTCATGAACGTGTGTGGTGATAAAGCTAGGCCGAACGGAAGAACCCGATATTGGTATTCTTCGCCCCCGAAAGCGAACCTCAGGAACTTCCTGTGTTGTGGAAGGATGGATATATGGAAGTACACGTCCTTTAGATCTATCGTGACTAACCAGTCCTCGGATCTGATTTGTGACACGATCTGCTTGAGAGTGAGCATTTTGAATTTGAGCTTCCCTACTGAGCGGTTTAACAGGCGCAGACCTAAAATTGGACGAAACCACCCATCCTTCTTTGGGACAATGAAGTACCGGCTGTAATAACCGGACTCCCTGCTGGGAGGAGGAACCCGTTCTATAGCCTCCTTTTGCAGAAGAGCTTTTACCTCTTGTTCCATTACCAGAGCCTGCTCGGGGCCCAGCACCGTGGGCAGGACCCCTCTGAATCGTGGTGCACGTGACCTGAGCTGAATAGCGTTTCCGTTTTCGATCGTTTGCAGGACACACTGAGATATATTTGGAAGACTTTTCCACCCTGCCAGAAAATCTACTAAGGGTACCATCTCTCGAGACTGGCCTCTGGAGTATTTTGAGCAGCAGACACAATGCCCTGTAACGGCGCACCGGCAGGGAACAACTGGTCTGACTGCCCTAGGCCCTTCCTCGGAGGGAGCGAGAGCCCCTTGAGAAAACGCTCGCTGGGACCCTCTACGCCCCCGGCATAAAGGCGGGGTTGGCAGAGCGATCCCCTGAGGGCGCAGAGAAAAAACGGGCACCATGAAATGAGGTGAACTCAGTTTTCTCTTGGCGGGGACTACCCTCAAAAGCCGGTTGCGTCAGGACTTCTTTTTAGACAAAGCCCTCTTCGAAACAATAACGGTCCTCAGATCCGTTTTGCTCTTAGAGGACTTTGGCTGAGAGCGCAGCGCCAGATCCCATTGGGGACTTTAAGCAACAGCTGCTGATAGAACGTCAACGGCAGTCGGAAGTAAACGGCCGTAGCTAAAGAACGCAAAAATTACTAAGCAACAGTAAAGAGGACGGCGTAGGGGATAACTTAATCATCTGACAAAATACAAAAAAAGAATGATTTTTAAAAAAACAAGAGATGGGTTGCTTTTGGCATTTAATGATATTTAGAATCGATTACAATGCCACATACCATAAAACATAACATTAACTTTATTAATCTGTCACGTAGTAAGGACTACGGCAAATCAGCTGTTCTCCGTAGAAGACTGTTACAGTAGAACGTCGTGAAGTAGCAGTTAAAGTCGGGCATGAGCAATAGACCGACAGAATGCCGTTGCCGTTCCACCAGAGGCTGTTGCTTAAAGGGGTCATATAATGGTACATGCACTTTTACAAGTTGATTGTACTGAAATGTGTGTTGGCAGTGCCTGCACACAAACATCATATAATGATAAAAATCCATCCAGTGGTTTTGTTTTCTCCTTATATGTTTTCCCCTGCCTCAAATCAAGCCGTTCGTTTTTGTGACGTCAATAAAACGGACGCCCCTCCCACGACTGTTGATTGACGGGAGCGTTTCAACACAGACCCGCCCTCGCACATGAGGTAGCTGTCAATCATAGTCTGCGCGGATCGGCGCGGTCATTGTTGATATGCTGGAGCACTGTCTATGAGCAGAATGGCGTCTAAGCGATTGTGGTGTTCTGTTCTTGGGTGTAATAACGAACACAGTCATTTTAATGTTCCTGAACCCGAACCACTGAAGACGCAGTGGCTGAGTTTGTTTTCGAAGGGAATATTCCCCACGAGCAACGTCAATGCTCTCATGTTTGCGCGAATCATTTCACACACCAGACTGCTTTATAAACGAGGGTCAGTATAAAGCTGGATTTGCTAAGAAGCTTTGCTAAAAAGGATCGGTACCAGATATTCGTGTTCCTGCTGAACCTCCAGAAGAACGGAAGTGAGTGAAACGTTTTATTAAACTTTATATTAATATATTAATCTTTGCAAATCGCTAGCTGCACGCTTCACAATGAATGCGTCTAAGGTTTACACTCAGGGTACATTACGGCATGTTTTCTATGTATGACGTTCTCAATATAATTCATAATTCCACGTTTATACTGAACAACGCATTATGGTTATTGTGTTATTGAGTTACAAACGGTGTATTGCAGAACAGAGAGGCGGGGTCAGCAAAGCTCATTATCATTTAAAGTCATATGCACTGAAACGGCATGCTGAAAACAGAGCTGTTTTTGACCAGGTAAAATAAGTGTTTTCTTACAATATTAATGAGAATTTTTAATTAAAGTATATTACAAACTTTTAATTTAGACCCTAAAGAATCATATTAGCTTGTACAAAAATGGCATTATATGACCCCTTTAGAGTCCCTATTCTTTCTGTGGGGGAGCGCGAGACACGACACTGCTTCTGCTGCGCCTGGTGTGTGGAGCTGGTCGACGGCCAGGGCTCCTCCCGCCCAGTTGCCCCTGAGACATGAGTGCGGAGTGGCAGGTATTTCGGGAACGCCGCCACCTGTTATTTTTTCTTCTTGAAACCTCTCGATGACTGTATACTGAGTCACCAAGAGGGCAGCAGGGGGAAGTGGGGCGTCCAGAAGGAATGTTTTTCCTCTCTCCTTCATTCCTGAGAGGTTCAGCCATAAATGCCTCTCCGTAGCTCTCACTCATGTCTTTTAGTAGGCCGGCCTGGTATGCTTGCATGATTGACATGGTGTGAAGGCAGCCTGACCTGCCGCCGAATAAGCTTTACCCACCAAAGCCGATGTATGTCTGAGTGGCTTGGTGGGTAATGCCGGTTCTTTGAAGGACGATGCAGACTCAGGAGAAAGATGGCTCGCAAGCGTCTCTCCAGCCCTGGGCATCGCTCCATAACCGTATAAGAATATGTAATAATATTAGAATGTTAGAATATTGTTAGACAGTTGGGGACTAAATACACGGTATGAAACCGGTCTTTTCCAGGACTTCGACCCCTCAGTGTGGAGGTCGGGAAAGCGTGGAGGCTGCATGCGGGATGACAGAAAGCTTGCTTTTCTGCCTTGACTCTTGTTTATCCGCTGGCCACTCAATGCTGAATTTCTCTCCAGCACGAGTAAGCACCTCTACAAGCTCCTCACATGCAGGAGACTGAAGTGACGAGTCTTCAGTATCTCCTGTCCCAATACTAACATCCTCCAGATCCTCAGAACTGGATAGTTGCGGTACCGGGGCCTCAGCCTGGGCGGAAGAAACCGCAGTGGGTCCAAACAAAAACACTCTCAGACAATGATGCACACGGAGCGCTTGCTTCAGCCTATCAGAAGCTGGCGCTGTTATGATTCAGGTGTGCTTTATAGTCTCCTGGTCGATGACGTCACCCACCTATGTCGTTCCGTCTCGCCATTGGACTGATTATACACGTGCTTCATGGCGCAATCACGCAGGGGCGTTCCCACAGCGCTTCGACGCAGCTTGAGTTCCCGGCTTATAAATCTCTCTATTGCCAAAAATTGCATTCAATCTTTTTGTCAACATGTTCTATATCAGTTATGCATTTCTTGCTGTAACCGACTGAGTGAAAATGCTGACTCAAGCTTATCCTCCACCTCCAGTAAAGTCATCTTGATTTAAGAAAGCTGTACTGGAAACCGAGACAGAGAGACTGAGGAAGAACAGGAGTGTTTAGCAGCGTGGGAAGGGTCGGAGTCTGTTGTGTTATCAAGCTCAGTCTAGAGCGCAGGCAGAACATTGCAGCGCTCAGACACATCTTCAGTTTTATACAGCCCAGAATCTGTGAAGTGTGTGATTTATTTACATTTCTGGTTGTCAAATTCTGTGAAGACGGCTGAGGCGTTTCAGTCAAATAAAAATAACAAACTGGTGGTTTTGCAATACCTACACAAAGATTAAAAATGAAACTTGTCAGTTTCTGGAGCACTTGTGATGGAGTGTGTGTGTGTGTGTGTGTGTGTATGAGAGTGAGTGAGTGTGAAACCTGTGTTTTCCAGGTCCCCCAGTGTCCTTTAGCTCCTCTGATAGTTGGTGCTCCACTCTGTGTGTGTGTGTGTGTGTGTGTGTGTGTGTGTGTGTGTGTGTGTGTTACCTGTGTTTTCCAGGTCCTCCAGTGTCCTTCAGCTCCTCTGATAGTTGGCACTCCACTCTCTGCACTCACTCCTGCTCCAGTGATGATGGCGATCTGACGCGCCTTAGAGAAAACCTCTCGAAACTCTGCCATATCTACACACACACACACACACACACACACACACCTGTATCATAGTTTACTTATATCATATACTTTTGTGTAAGCGGTTACCAGGGCGTTGGTGATACTGGGCGATATGTAAAAATAAATACTTTAGCAATAATCGCCTTAAAAAATATCATGATATACAATTATATCGTCTACTACTACTTTTTCTAACCCTACTTACTAGTATAGAAAACATTTAACTGGACGCGTACGTGACGTCACGCACCTGAGTGTGTCCGGGTGAGTTGATTGACAGCTGTCCATCTCCCGCAGTGAGCGGCTGCCCTCAACATCAGCTGATTCACCATCACTTACTGAGTGCTGGTCTGTCAAACACACACACATGTATAATATATCAATCTGTTTTCACAGTCACATAAGGAACAAACTAAACAAAAGTTCCTAAAAGTTTATTGATCAAGTTAACTTATTCTAGCGTTAAACACAACACTGAATCCAACAGCAAACCGAATGTGATTGTATTGCAGGCCGCAGTAAGACAGTTGAGCGGCACAGGATCCACATCAATTATGATCCACAGACAAAATCAATAAATCAATCGTCATCACACCGCAGAAGAGCCTCATTTGAACGCATCAGATCTTTGACATTGAGCTGAATTTATGCCTGCTACCCGTGATCCACATACAGATATACATTCGTAAGCAGAACTGATAATAACCTAAATAATACCTTTATCGACGCCACACGTGAAAATGCGCTTTTCTGGCGTCCTACTACCGTAAACATGTCGTAAAGTGTGTTCACGTGTCGCAAAGCGCGTCTGTTTCTATGGTGATGTTGAGGCTCGGCTGAAGCGGACTGCGCTCTCTAGCGGAAGATCGCGAGACTGCAGAGTCAAACACGTGTTTAAATATGTGGCAGCATAAGAACAAAAATCACCATAATTATGACATAAAAAGTTGAAAACATTACATTCACACTTGTTTCTAGGATCCCAGTCAATCATATTTAACTGTAAAGGGGTAACCATTAATACTGTGAAGAAAAAAATATATATAATTGTGTAAGATACTCATTTTTTATTACATTACTTCATAGCGTTTTTTTTTTTTACTGTATTCATTTATGTTTATCAAATTATTTCTGAATCTATTAATTCTTTATTTAAATACAATTTCATTTTAATATATTTGTCTATTTAGTTACTTAGTTGAATCTTATTTATTTATTTTTTACACAGCTTTTCTTCTTTTTTAAATGAAGTTTTCATCAAATGCATTTATTTTATTTCTTAAATACAAGGAATGCAAGAAGTGCTGCACGGGGAGTAACTTCAGTGTCTTCAGTGTAACTGGTTGCTGCTGTGATTGTGTGTGTCACACACTCACACACACCCTGATGACGCGTAGGTGTGCGTTGCTTGTAATCCGTTTTTAACATATAAGCCATGAAATAAGAAAGGCTTTTTGTATTTTTCTAAAAACTAATACTCGAGTGCCTTGGATTGTTATTTCTTTTTTTTTCTTTCTATTTATTTTAATCTAATTTTATTTATTTTAATCATTTTCATTTATTTTTATTAAGATATTTTATTTATTTAATTTAAATACAATTTTGTTTATTTAACCAATTTATCATTTCAATATTCAATCCAATGTATTATTATTTATTTTTATATTTTTTATTTAATTCAAATGTATTTAATTATTTAGTTCTATGACGCTGGTCACGTGATAACAGGTTTTTCAACGGCTTTGCGTGATACATGTTACTTTTCTCAGCGCGGGTCGGGCTTGACCAATCACGCGGAGGCAATCGCAGAATAACGTTTTTTACATTTATTTATGTATTTTTAATGTCAACAATAATAATTTCATGTATAGCAATGGAATTGATTTCTACTTGTAAGTGAGTTACCAGTCCTCGAAATGATCAGATGATCATATATTCCAACACAAAGCTCGACGCTGACGGTGTGTGTGTGTTCGCTCTCGAGCGCCTGCTGGAGGAACAGCGCGTGACGTGTGTCTCGGTAACCGACAGCAGCAGCAGCAGCTCGAGCTCTAGCTCGGTGTGTGTGTGTGTCCGCAGATGGAGGGCGATGGACGCCGAGCACCGCTGCTCCGCCACACCGGGAGATCCGTCAGCCTCCGCACAGGTACAGACCCCGAACAGCAGCAGGAACACGCCCGTGCCCGACACTGTGGCGGCGCGCCTCAGATGTGTTGCTCAGCAGCAGCAGTCGCATCTCGTGTTGCCATGGTGACTCGCCATCGTTTTCAGCTGAGTCAGCGCTAACGAGAGAGAGAGCGCGCGAGGCGAGCGCGGGAACTGTACTGATGCTGCAGTAGATATATCGAGATAGAATAACACAACAGAGTTATCGAGAGAATTTGTGTGTGTGTGTGTGTGTGTGTGTGTGTGTGTTTAGCTCGGGTTGATGAGTAAAGGCGTGATATGAGATGCAGACTAGTGTGTGTGTGTGTGTGTGTGTGTGTGTGTGTGTCTGTGTGTGTGTGTGTGTGTGTGCAGGTCGTCAGCTGTGCAGTAGTGCAGCTGATGTGTGTGTGAGTGTGTGTGTGTGTGCAGGTCGTCAGCTGTGCAGTAGTGCAGCTGATCTAGTGCACTAACAGCTACACACACCTTGCGGATAATCTCACTCAGATGACACTGGTTAAAACATCATTAGTTTCCCAAAGCCAACTATGGTCGCAAGTTCCGTCGTTACCAATAGAGTTCAATGGAAATTGCGATAGTTGGATAACGATGCTTTCGGGAAACGCACTCCTGGCCGTTCGTAAAGTCTGGCTTAATCTAAGTCCACGCGAGAGGTTTAGTAATAACTAATTCTATAGTTTATTCGGTTCTTAAAGGGATAGTTCAGCCATAAATAAAAAAAATCTGACATAATTTACTAACCCTTCAAGTTGTTTAACCTGGTTTAATGTATTTCTTCTGTTGAACACAAAAGAAGATGTTTTTAAGAATGTCGGTAATTAAACAGTTAATGGTTCAAAACAGTTCAAAATATCCGTGTCCCAGAATTGTCATTTTTGTGTACTATCCCTTTAAGACAGACCATAGTTTGTAGACAAACACGTGAGCAGAAGCTGTGCTGAAATGCCGCGAATTTCAGTTCATCCTTGATTCGCGTAACGGTCAAATTAGTTTCCTGTGAAATACGACACTCTTTTATCATGGATAAATAATAGGGATTTTATATAATATGCACTATATTGCAGTGTATTTTTACCTAACATGTTCTTTCGATATTTAATGCATGTTTGAATAAATCAATTTTTTTATGACAACAACTATTTAAATGTTTTATATTTAAAAAATAAAACTAGTAGAAACATAATTATACCATTAAAAGGTTATTATAAGCAGGGCTTTGTGTACCTCAGCAGTGGCGTGTAACAGTCTCCTCCACTTTGGCCGGTTGAATTTTATATATAATGTACATTTTTTAATTGTAGTCTTTTAAAAAGGCATCTGAAATAGTAAAATAAGTGCAAAATATCTATTTTTTGATACATATCGATACTGAAATATCTGAAACACTTCCAATACTCATTTTCCATTTACCAGCTGCTCTTTCTCTCGAGTGACACACAAACCCGCCTCTCCTCACTCAATCGTTTCATTCGCTCAAGAGATTCGTTCAAAAACACTGATTCATCCAGTCAGGAAACAAGTCTTTATGAGTGAGTCATTGAGTCATTCACTCAAGAGATTCGTTCAAAAACACTGATTTATCCAGTCAGGAAACAAGTCTTTATGAGTGAGTCATTGAATCATTCACTCAAGAGATTTGTTCAAAAACACTGATTCATCCAGTCAGGAAACAAGTCTTTATGAGTGAGTCATTGAGTCATTCACTCAAGAGATTTGTTCAAAAACACTGATTCATCCAGTCAGGAAACAAGTCTTTATGAGTGAGTCATTGAATCATTCACTCAAGAGATTCGTTCAAAAACACTGATTCATCCAGTCAGGAAACAAGTCTTTATGAGTGAGTCATTGAATCATTCACTCAAGAGATTCGTTCAAAAACACTGATTCATCCAGTCAGGAAACAAGTCTTTATGAGTGAGTCATTGAGTCATTCACTCAAGAGATTCGTTCAAAAACACTGATTCATCCAGTCAGGAAACAAGTCTTTATGAGTGAGTCATTGAGTCATTCACTCAAGAGATTCGTTCAAAAACACTGATTCATCCAGTCAGGAAACAAGTCTTTATGAGTGAGTCATTGAGTCATTCACTCAAGAGATTCATTCAAAAACACTGATTCATCCAGTCAGGAAACAAGTCTTTATGAGTGAGTCATTGAGTCATTCACTCAAGAGATTCGTTCAAAAACACTGATTCATCCAGTCAGGAAACAAGTCTTTATGAGTGAGTCATTGAATCATTCACTCAAGAGATTCGTTCAAAAACACTGATTCATCCAGTCAGGAAACAAGTCTTTATGAGTGAGTCATTGAGTCATTCACTCAAGAGATTTGTTCAAAAACACTGATTTATCCAGTCAGGAAACAAGTCTTTATGAGTGAGTCATTGAGTCATTCACTCAAGAGATTCGTTCAAAAACACTGATTCATCCAGTCAGGAAACAAGTCTTTATGAGTGAGTCATTGAGTCATTCACTCAAGAGATTCGTTCAAAAACACTGAATCATCCAGTCAGGAAACAAGTCTTTATGAGTGAGTCATTGAATCATTCACTCAAGAGATTTGTTCAAAAACACTGATTCATCCAGTCAGGAAACAAGTCTTTATGAGTGAGTCATTGAGTCATTCACTCAAGAGATTCGTTCAAAAACACTGATTCATCCAGTCAGGAAACAAGTCTTTATGAGTGAGTCATTGAGTCATTCACTCAAGAGATTCGTTCAAAAACACTGATTCATCCAGTCAGGAAACAAGTCTTTATGAGTGAGTCATTGAATCATTCACTCAAGAGATTCGTTCAAAAACACTGATTCATCCAGTCAGGAAACAAGTCTTTATGAGTGAGTCATTGAGTCATTCACTCAAGAGATTTGTTCAAAAACACTGATTCATCCAGTCAGGAAACAAGTCTTTGTGAGTGAGTCATTGAGTCATTCACTCAAGAGATTCGTTCAAAAACACTGATTCATCCAGTCAGGAAACAAGTCTTTATGAGTGAGTCATTGAGTCATTCACTCAAGAGATTCGTTCAAAAACACTGATTCATCCAGTCAGGAAACAAGTCTTTATGAGTGAGTCATTGAGTCATTCACTCAAAACAGTTAAAAAAAGAAACTTCATTGAAAATAATTGAAAATTTTTGTCAGAACCTCTAGTAAATTACATGTTAGTTTGTTTAGTTGTCTGTTCAGAATCGTGATAAATAAATTTGAAAAATCTAATTTACCCAGAATCGTATGGAAGCATATGGGTAGCAATATTAAATTTGAAATGTAATATGCAAAATGACCATGTAAAATGGCAATGCATTTCTGTACTTAAATTACATTTTCCATTACATTTGTGCAACGTTTGGTGCAAAATGAAAATATTCTATAATTCACATTTGCCATTTCATACACTAGTTTTAATATGTAAATTGAGTGCATATTTGAACTCTTTATAAGGTGCAAAAATGCACTCCGAGCCGATGAAAATGTAAATTTAAATACAGAAATGCATTGCCATTTTATATTGCATTTTCATTTTGCATATTACATTTCAAATTGAATATTGCTACCCATATGCTTCCATAGAATCGCGCAGCTCTAATGTATTATTAAAAACGCTCGGCTGGTTTTCATTCACCAGTGTCTGGTGTGTGTGGAGGAGACAGGCCACTAGATGTCGCTAATCTGCTTCATTGTGTCGCATTCAGTTTATATGTGGGTCACTTTCACTCGCTTCATCTACACACACACACACACACACACGTATGGAAACACAGTCTTTTAACCCGACAGTTATCGTCTCCACATTATCAGAGATGCTCCATCGCAACAGAAGTCTGAGAGATTTGATAAAACACTGTGAGATGAGACGAATGTGCAGATCTGGTGCTTTTAATCATCCTCTCAGTTCACTGTAACACTCTGAACAGAAGAGGAATAGAGGAATCACTGTGTTTAAGAGCAGTTGGGGAATAAACCAGCATGACCTGAGGAAACGTGTGTGCAGCTTTAATGCTTTCTTGTTTTCTAAAGAGAATATGTGCCATAGAGGAAGCTTATTCTCTACATGACCCATAAATGAAGAGACCATGTCAGAATGTTTTGCCAACGTTCCCATTAGGTTATGAAAATGATATTTCTGAACGTTGAAGAATAATGTTTTTGTGCCAGCGTTTGAGAACCTGTACAGGAGCGTTCGGTTCGCGTTCCTGGATGAGTGTGTGTTTAGCGCTGAAGCTCAGATCTGAGAGGCTGGGAACGAGCTTCGGCACGGATTATAATGACATAACTCCCTCAGAGCCGCCGGCGCACATGGCAGAAGTTAATGAGAGGATTTCTCTATCGCCCCACTTTAATATCAGCTAAAGCAGCGTGAAGCGAGTGTGTGCGCCGCTGGACAGTGTGTTCGAGAGGACGTCCTCGTGACGGAAAGCTACTGTTCGAGTACTTCAAATATCTTCACATGTGTGGGTACATCATTAATGTAATTATTAGTGGTTTAGTCAGTCACCTCAAGATGAGTGTGTGTTTGTGCTCCAGACGTTATTGGCTCCTCAGATCGAGTTAGGGATGCGCCGATATGAACATTTTGGCCGATAACGATAGCCGATAATTCTTTTTATACCATGGTCTGGGTGAATACTCGATTCTGATTGGCTGCAGGGTGTCCGTTAAAAAGTGATAGAGGACACCTAGTAAAGGAGTTCTGGTGAAACTGACGGTTTACCGTTCGAAATTAATAAATAAATGCGCTGCTTACAACAGCTGTGAGTAACCATAGCAACAGGCAGTCAAAGTACAATACACTAATACAATACAAACTAATACAACAATGAGCGACTTCGTTATTTCTTTTAACATTTATGGAGAATATGACAACTTTGACGACTGGTATGCTGCTGAAGAAAGAAAAAATGTAAATAAAACGGAGAAACGACACAAAGAGATAACATCGGGTGAATTGAATCAAATAGAAGACGAAAAAGATGAGATCAACACGAAAAAAAATACTAAATGGGCAGTAAATACACTCAGAGACTTTATTGTTCAAAAAGAAATGGACTCCAGCTTTGAAAATTACACCGCTGCTGCTCTGAATGAGACCCTGCGGGAGTTTTACGCAGCTGTCTAGACAACCAAGGCAGGAGGAGAGTACAGCGTTTCAAGCCTAAGGAGCCTGAGAGCCGGTATCAATCGCCATATAAGGGAATTCAATATTATAACTGACACCAGATTCATGACCTGTAATGCTGTGTTTAAAGCAATAATTAAACGTTACAGAAAAAGCGGTAAAGATACCAGCGTTCACCATCCACGTATTTCTGAGTCTGATCTTGAAATCATAAAGAATTCACCTGTACTGTCTCCCAATACGCCCCTTGGCCTGGTCAGAAAAGTCTGGTTTGACATCCAGCTGTGTTTGGCTCGGCGTGGCAGGGAGGGCAACCGGGAGCTCTCCATGCAGTCTTTTAAAGTCCAGAGAGACGAGGATGGGGTTGAGTTTGTCACCCTGGCTTACAATCCGCACACCAAAAACCACATCGATCCGAATGACCCAGATAAGGAAAACTTCCGAGGTTTTATGTTTGCCAGACCCGGGGATCCGCTGTGTCCGGTAAAAAGTTTCACGTCCTATGTGTCCAAATGTCCATCTGACGCAAAAGCTTTCTACCACCATCCGAAGCGCACCGTGACATCCGCTTCCGAAGTGTGGTACAGCCGGGAGCCGATGGGTATCCACTACCTCGGGAACATGATGAAAAAGATCAGCGAAGATGTAGGCCATTACAATTTATGTAAATATAAATGTATTATTAGGCCTAGTAGATCTACTTTTATTATAATTATAACTATTATTATCATCATCGTTTTATCATAGGTGGTGGGCCTTTCGAAGGTCTACACTAACCACAGCCTCCGAAGCACCGCTGTAGGTCGACTCTCCGATGCTGGACTGGAGAGCCGTCAAATAATGTCGGTGACAGGCCATCGATGCGAGAGCAGTCTGCGGGCTTACTGGGCTCCGTCAGTCCGTGAGAGACGAAGCTGGAGCAACATACTGTCTGCATCAAGTGCCCATCATGGGCAGTACCCAGCTTTTGTGGATCCTCCTTCAAAGGCCCCTATGTCTGACTTGCCGACTTTTTCAAATTGCACTATAAATGGAAACGTTGAAATTAATTGTAAATAAAAAAGCTAGCATGTAGGCAAATGACCCTGATTAATCTGATTAATTTATTGCCCTCTATAAGCGCAAATCGCTGGAGCCAGAACTAATTTTTTTTTTTTTTTTGATTGTTGTTTGATTAATTGTTTTATGTGTAATAAAAAAAATAACTATGCCTACCTTTGTGTTTCATGAAAAAAAAAATGCATTTTTCAACCTGAAGGGTTCTACAAGCTGAGCGGACTATAAATATCTCCGGTTGCTAAATAAACCGTCAGGCAAGTTATTATTTGTAAAAACTAGAGATTTAGCCTAATTAAAATATAAACTAATGTTTTAAAAATGTTTTATTTGGCAAGTGACCATGGTATAAGCGGGTTAATGCCCTTCGAGGTGTCCGTTGTAAGGTTTTAATGGACTTCGGCGGAGGCAACCGTCCTCCGCTGCGCGTCGGCCGGTTTACACCTCGCCGTCGTCCATTAAAACCTTACAACGGACACCTCGTCGGGCATTAACCCTTACATATTTGAAAGCCGATAAACGGTATATTTGCTGATTAATCTAAATCCATATTTTTATATAATTTTTGAGAGCCTGATTACAAAAACAAAAGTCTCACCATTAAAATCCATGTACCAAACACACAATTATAATGCTCTTATTATAATTGTATGTAGCCGATATGACAGACATGTTGCACTTCACTGTATTTTCCTTTTCTAAAGTGATTTCAATCATATTTCAAGCAATTCAAACCCATCATGTTGAACAGTCGCATCTGAAGCGTCTCAGCTGAGGAAATAATACATCGTTGATAAGTTGAGAAGGGTATAAGGTCAAGGTCAATGTAGCATTTATTGTCTCCCTAAGGAGCAATTTGTTTTAGATTAGGCAACTGCTGCCGTATCAACACATAACACATGTAACATACAACATTAACAAACATTTCAAATCCTAAAAACCCTGCATCATAAAAACAGTACATCTCATTACACCAGCTCATAACTGCAGCCTGGAGATCTCCGAAACAGGGCGGAGCTCCAGAATAGGTGTGGCTTCCTTCTTAGACAGGCACATGACACGCATGCATGATTTTTTTCCCTCCAATCAACTTCAGCGCAAACTCCGCCCCGCAGCCGATTCTGAAGATTTCATTGGTCATGTCAAACACAGTGCTGATTTCATACAACGCTATGCTACACAAATCCTAACCCCTAACCCTACTCTACACCCTAACCTTAACCAGTGAAAATGACTGCCAGGCAGGGTTTGCGCTGAATAGCGTACTAATTAAGAAAATGGCAGTTCAGGAGATAAGCAGTTAATAAGATAAGCCAGGCCGTCCGTAACTTCCAAACCGGACCTCACCAGGCATTGGATTGATTTGGTTGCGAGTGCAGTGTGCTTGCAGAGAGACTCCGCCCACACACTCTTCTGATTGGCTGTGATTTTGGATTGATTTGGTTGTGAGTGCAGTGCGTTTGCAGAGAGACTCCGCCCACACACTCTTCTGATTGGCTGTGATTTTGGATTGATTTGGTTGTGAGTGCAGTGCGCTTGCAGAGAGACTCCGCCCACACACTCTTCTGATTGGCGGTGATTTTGGATTGATTTGGTTGTGAGTGCAGTGCGCTTGCAGAGAGACTCCGCCCACACACTCTTCTGATTGGCTGTGATTTTGGATTGATTTGGTTGTGAGTGCAGTGCGCTTGCAGAGAGACTCCGCCCACACACTCTTCTGATTGGCTGTGATTTTGGATTGATTTGGTTGTGAGTGCAGTGCGCTTGCAGAGAGACTCCGCCCACACGCTCTTCTGATTGGCGGTGATTTTGGATTGATTTGGTTGTGAGTGCAGTGCGCTTGCAGAGAGACTCCGCCCACACACTCTTCTGATTGGCGGTGATTTTGGATTGATTTGGTTGTGAGTGCAGTGCGTTTGCAGAGAGACTCCGCCCACACACTCTTCTGATTGGCTGTTTTGATTTTGGAATGATTTGGTTGCGAGTGCAGTGCGCTTGTAGAGAGACTCCGCCCACACACTCTTCTGATTGGCTGTGATTTTGGATTGATTTGGTTGCGAGTGCAGTGCGCTTGCAGAGAGACTCCGCCCACACACTCTTCTGATTGGCTGTGATTTTGTATTGATTTGGTTGTGAGTGCAGTGCGCTTGCAGAGAGACTCCGCCCACACACTCTTCTGATTGGCTGTATTGATTTTGGAATGATTTGGTTGCGAGTGCAGTGCGCTTGCAGAGAGACTCCGCCCACACACTCTTCTGATTGGCTGTATTGATTTTGGAATGATTTGGTTGCGAGTGCAGTGCGCTTGTAGAGAGACTCCGCCCATACACTCTTCTGATTGGCTGTGATTTTGTATTGATTTGGTTGTGAGTGCAGTGCGCTTGCAGAGAGACTCCACCCACACACTCTTCTGATTGGCTGTATTGATTTTGGAATGATTTGGTTGTGAGTGCAGTGCGCTTGCAGAGAGACTCCGCCCACACACTCTTCTGATTGGCTGTATTGATTTTGGATTGATTTGGTTGTGAGTGCAGTGCGCTTGTAGAGAGACTCCGCCCACACACTCTTCTGATTGATTGTGATTTTGGATTGATTTGGTTGTGAGTGCAGTGCGCTTGCAGAGAGACTCCGCCCACACGCTCTTCTGATTGGCTGGATTGATTTTGGATTGATTTGGTTGTGAGTGCAGTGCGCTTGCAGAGAGACTCCGCCCACACACTCTTCTGATTGGCTGGATTGATTTTGGATTGATTTGGTTGTGAGTGCAGTGCGCTTGCAGAGAGACTCCGCCCACACATTCTTCTGATTGGCTGTATTGATTTTGGAATGATTTGGTTGCGAGTGCAGTGCGCTTGTAGAGAGACTCCGCCCATACACTCTTCTGATTGGCTGTGATTTTGTATTGATTTGGTTGTGAGTGCAGTGCGCTTGCAGAGAGACTCCACCCACACACTATTCTGATTGGCTGTATTGATTTTGGAATGATTTGGTTGTGAGTGCAGTGCGCTTGCAGAGAGACTCCGCCCACACACTCTTCTGATTGGCTGTATTGATTTTGGATTGATTTGGTTGTGAGTGCAGTGCGCTTGTAGAGAGACTCCGCCCACACACTCTTCTGATTGATTGTGATTTTGGATTGATTTGGTTGTGAGTGCAGTGCGCTTGCAGAGAGACTCCGCCCACACGCTCTTCTGATTGGCTGGATTGATTTTGGATTGATTTGGTTGTGAGTGCAGTGCGCTTGCAGAGAGACTCCGCCCACACACTCTTCTGATTGGCTGTATTGATTTTGGATTGATTTGGTTGTGAGTGCAGTGCGCTTGTAGAGAGACTCCGCCCACACACTCTTCTGATTGATTGTGATTTTGGATTGATTTGGTTGTGAGTGCAGTGCGCTTGCAGAGAGACTCCGCCCACACGCTCTTCTGATTGGCTGGATTGATTTTGGATTGATTTGGTTGTGAGTGCAGTGCGCTTGCAGAGAGACTCCGCCCACACACTCTTCTGATTGGCTGTATTGATTTTGGATTGATTTGGTTGTGAGTGCAGTGCGCTTGTAGAGAGACTCCGCCCACACACTCTTCTGATTGATTGTGATTTTGGATTGATTTGGTTGTGAGTGCAGTGCGCTTGCAGAGAGACTCCGCCCACACGCTCTTCTGATTGGCTGGATTGATTTTGGATTGATTTGGTTGTGAGTGCAGTGCGCTTGCAGAGAGACTCCGCCCACACACTCTTCTGATTGGCTGGATTGATTTTGGATTGATTTGGTTGTGAGTGCAGTGCGCTTGTAGAGAGACTCCGCCCACACGCTCTTCTGATTGGCTGTGATTTTGGATTGATTTGGTTGTGAGTGCAGTGCGCTTGCAGAGAGACTCCGCCCACACGCTCTTCTGATTGGCTGTGATTTTGGATTGATTTGGTTGCGAGTGCAGTGCGCTTGCAGAGAGACTCCGCCCACACACTCTTCTGATTGGCGGTGATTTTGGATTGATTTGGTTGTGAGTAGAGTGCGCTTGCAGAGAGACTCCGCCCACACACTCTTCTGATTGATTGTGATTTTGGAATGATTTGGTTGTGAGTGCAGTGCGCTTGCAGAGAGACTCCGCCCACACGCTCTTCTGATTGGCGGTGATTTTGGATTGATTTGGTTGTGAGTAGAGTGCGCTTGCAGAGAGACTCCGCCCACACACTCTTCTGATTGATTGTGATTTTGGATTGATTTGGTTGTGAGTAGAGTGCGCTTGCAGAGAGACTCCGCCCACACACTCTTCTGATTGATTGTGATTTTGGATTGATTTGGTTGTGAGTAGAGTGCGCTTGCAGAGAGACTCCGCCCACACACTCTTCTGATTGGCTCTGATTTTGGAATGATTTGGTTGTGAGTGCAGTGCGCTTGCAGAGAGACTCCGCCCACACACTCTTCTGATTGGCGGTGATTTTGGATTGATTTGGTTGTGAGTAGAGTGCGCTTGCAGAGAGACTCCGCCCACACACTCTTCTGATTGGCGGTGATTTTGGATTGATTTGGTTGTGAGTAGAGTGCGCTTGCAGAGAGACTCCGCCCACACACTCTTCTGATTGGCTCTGATTTTGGAATGATTTGGTTGTGAGTGCAGTGCGCTTGCAGAGAGACTCCGCCCACACACTCTTCTGATTGGCGGTGATTTTGGATTGATTTGGTTGTGAGTAGAGTGCGCTTACAGAGAGACTCCGCCCACACACTCTTCTGATTGGCGGTGATTTTGGAATGATTTGGTTGCGAGTGCAGTGCGCTTGTAGAGAGACTCCGCCCACACACTCTTCTGATTGATTGTGATTTTGGATTGATTTTTGACGTTTCTGCTGTGGACAGACAAACTGAATGTCGCTAGAATCTTATCGCATCGCGTCTGGTTAGGACCTGGTGTCTTGCTGGATTTTTGACATCACTGGACACACGTCACGATCGCTGTCTCTTATGTTTCCTTCATCGTCAATGATCAAACAAATGACTTCTGGTAGCTTTGTTCCTGGAACAGGACTGAACAACCTGCAGAGAAAAGACATCAGCCTCATGCCTCTCTCTCTTCCCAAGGTCATGTACTGCATCTCACTAATTCATCCAATACATCTAAAAGTTAGGACTGAAATCCAAAAGTAAAGACCCACACAATCATCTGTGCTGCTCGGGGCGAGACTCTTCTTCGTGAATGAGTGTGTGTTGACAGAGAGCGGAGATGGCGTTACGCAAGCATGACGTCACTGGAGTTCAGCTGAAGTGCTCAGAGCCGCATGATGGTCTCTGGTGATGTGACTGACACAGATGGTAAAGGGATAGTTCACCCAAAAAGTACAATTCTGGCATCATTTGTCCTCACATCGGTCCAAACCCATAAGACTTTTGTTACTCTTTGAAACATAATATTAGGATAGTTTTGAATAGGTCATATTATGCCGTTTTACAAAGTCTTGTTGTGTTTGTTCTCTACTAGAACAGGTTTTCCTGCCTGAATGTTGATTATTTTCCTCAGATTCTCCATTGTTGCGGCTCCTCTCTTCCCAGTCTGTCAGTAACGCTCTGTTTACTTCCTGTCTCTGTGAAGCCCCTCCTTCTGAAAAGCACACTGTGCTCTGATTGGTCGGCTGGAGCAGTGTGTTGTGATTGGTCGAGCGCTTCAAGTGTGTTTGTGAAAGTCCCGCCCCTTACCATAACCGCCAGTTTAACACACTACTAACTAACTCAACCAGGCCCCGCCCCTTTATTCTGCGTATTAATTATTATAATGAGGAATATTGTGACGTGTTCCCGGAAGAAACTCAAGACTACAGTGGAGGCGTTTCAGGAGTTCAGAAACACTGACACTGATATAGAGGAGACTGGAGCTTCTTCATGCTGAAACAGCACTTTGCTAGCAGGAACTGTTTGTTGAAGTAAATCCTGCAGTCTTCTGTCTCCTTGATGCTGGTGGAGTGAGGCCGGACTCATGAATGTCCTGATTCGAGATCCTCAGGCCTCCTTCATATCTCCGCTGCGCTCTATCACTCCGAGGGCCTGATCCAGCCTGATCCGGCTATCATCCACAGCACAGGGACTGAGATTAAGACGGAGCGGATGTGTTTCAGCAGCCTACGGTTAGTTAGTTCATTCATTATTCACGGTCTGCTGCACGTGCCTGCTGATGTAACCGTGCACTGATGTGTGTGTGTGTCTACTACTAGTGTTTGGACAACTGACTCCAGTGCAAACCCACAACACACACGCATATTGAGATGTAGATGTACAGGCGTGCAGCTGATCCAGTGTGTTCAGTGTCTCCGAGCAGCTCTGCGGGTTTAACATGCATTTATCCTCACATTCACTTCATCTCAACACTTCTGTGGATGAAGATTATAGCATTTCATGTTGTTATTATTCCCGCTCTAAGCTATTGAGCCTGAGGAGTCTCAGACAGCAGAGGCTCAGTTGATGAGAAAATACTGTGATTATGGTCAGAAGCAAGTTAACTTGGTTACTGTTGAAATTTCATTCCCTTAATGACTACTTTACATTCATAATGAGATTTGTTGTGATTTAACTTTACCTCATGTAAACACAATACTTGCGACTGAACTCGTAATCGTAGCAACCATAATCGAGTAAAATATGTGGCATATGCTGATTTTAATCGCCAAAAACACTTTAATCGCATGTATTCCACCGAATGCACGCGCTTATGAAGAACACGATGGCGGTTTCATGCACAGATTCATAAACGTAGCGGTAAAGAAGACATCGCATCTTTGGGCTGCTGAAGAAACACTGATTAGGGATGCACCGAAATAAATATTTTGGCCGATACCGATAATTCTTTAAAAGCCGATAACCGATATATTGGCTGATAAATCTAAATCTGATTTTTATATCATTTTTGAGAGATTCTCCTTATTAAAAGCCATGTCCCAAATACAATTATAATGATGTTCTCGGTGGTCGACCGATATATCGGCCGATATTTGGCATTTTTAAAATATCGTTATTGGCCGATACGTTTTTCTGATTGGCCGATGTGTTGGAAGCGGGACTTTTATTTTGACGGGCGTCGCTGAGAACACCAGTCACAGCGCTCTCTCACATTCTCCGTCTTCATTAGTTTACCATCTCTGTCAGTCATTTCTCATACTGTGTTAGACAGAACTGGTAAACAAAGAAAGTAAACGGTATGCGAAAAAGTAAAGCTTTTGCTTTTATATTATTTGTAACAGAAAAGGCAAACAATCAGGCTAAAATACGTTCTCATTTACCGTCAGCATTCAGCAAATGCGCATCTACATCATTTAAACAAATCTCTGAATATCTAATGAACATTTACTTTCACAAACCTTGGAGATTTAATGGACTCCAGCGGTGAGATCGTGTGAAGTGTGTGTGTGTGTAGCCGGCATAACCGTGTTCCTGCGAGTGACGGCCGGTCTGAAGAGTGCGAACAGAAGATCAGCTTCACCGCAGACGCCATCGTAACACTTTAAATCCTTCAGTTTAAAATATGCTGGGCTATATCCAGTGTCCCACTGTGGCATATTCATATCGCTTTCACTGTGTGCTGTATGTAAAATTAGCCTTACCTTGTCTTGATTTGAAAAAATATGATTACCAGTGCGCACGATATTACCAGATTACTGAGTGCCGTTACAGTGTTTACTTCCTTTTTATTCACATTTAAACAATTACTTTATTTGTGAAAAATACTGTAATAGGATTGCAGATTCATCTAAAATATAAGCATGTTTATTTTAAGGATTGGTTTTCTAATTTATTAAATATTGATTAAAATAAATATAAAGTATATATATATATATATATATATAAATATCGGCTTTAAATGGGCCATCGGCCACCCTGTTCTCTAAGATATCGGCATCGGCCATCAAAAAACCAATATCGGTCGACCACTAATTAAATGTAGCCGATATGACAGACATGTTGACCTTCACTGTATTTTCCTTTTTTGAAGTGATTCCTATCATATTTCAAGCAATTCAAAACCATCATGTTGAACAGTGCGCATCTGAAGTGTCTCATTCATCGACTTTAATATATCGGACAAATTTTCTTATCGGGCCGATAACGCTAGCATTATAAATAAACATATATCGGCCGATACCGATAACCGATAATTCTTTAAATCTGGATGCCTATAACCGATATATTTGTAGATAAATCTAAATCCAAATTTTTATATAATTTTTGAGAGCCTGATTACAAAACAAAAGTCTCACTATTAAATTCCATGTCCCAAACACACAATTATAATGTTCTTATTATAACTTTATGTAGCCGATATGACAGACTTGACTGTATTTTCCTTTTTTGAAGTGATTCCAATCATATTTCAAGCAATTCAAACCCATCATGGTGAACAGTGCGCATATGAAGCGTCTCAGCTTTATCGGCCAAATCTTCTTATCAGGCCGATACCGATAGCATTAAAACTGAACATGGGCTGATATATGGTGCATCTCTTCTCACTAGTGCAGCCGGGTCTGAGATGTGAACCACAGCATGTCATGTCCTGTGTGATGCATCTCTGGTCTGGTGTGTGTGTGTGTGTGTGTGTGGGCAGTGACGTCCTGAAGAGCGGGTGTAGATGATCCAGGCCGTGACTCAGCGCTGAATCATGTCTTCACTGCTCTGCAGGATCTGTTGAGTCACGGATGGGCTGATGTTATTAGGTGAGGATGTGCTTATGTGGCGTTTAGCAGCTCTTCAGTGCCGGTGTGTCTCTGACCACGCCTGGAGATCCACAGTTAAACGCTCATTTGTGACACATTCAGAGCGGTGGAGGATCAAAACATGTGGCTCCGTCATGAAACAATACTGCAGAAAGTCATTTACAGTGTAATTCGATAAAAAAACAATATGCTATGATGTGAATGTGTCATCCCGGTCAAACTATAGCATGGTTCAAGCCCAGGGTTCTGACGTATATTTGGCTTGTGTGTGGTAATGTTCAATCATTACTGGAAAAGCGTCAGTGACGTATGCAGGACTGTCCTATCATTAGTGTGCTTAAGCCCCGCCCCCTTAAGCTGACGCTCATCTGCATAAACTCCTCAGAGCCACGCCCACATCTCAACATCCAATCAGAAAGAACCATTACAGCTATAAACTGACAGTTTAACATTCAAATTAATGTATCACATCTAATAATGATTCAGGGGAGGTTTGACAAGGACAGCAGAATTATTTCTTAGGTTTGCATTTTATTAATGTAAAACTAAGACATTTTAGATGTCTCAATACTAATAAAACTGTGTAGTTTGCAGTAAATGTCTCAAACACAGCAGTATGCAGCATTGATGCCACATAAAAATATTTCAGATCATTCAGCAGTTTTATTCAGTTTTGTGTAAAATACCCCTTCCAGTTAATTCGTCACACTGGGAAGGGAAGGTCAGGTCAAGTACATTGAGCACTGTGGGATACAGTACAGCACATCATGCACACTGAACTTCACATCGTGCAGAAACAGTAGGACTAGTGTGTGTGTGTGTGTGTGGAAGCAAACACATCGTCCAGCTGGTAACCTTCTGTCAGTGTGTGTGTGTGTGTGAAACTCATCATCACTGCAGCAGTGTTTGTCTGTGATTTGAGACACACTCCTTGCACTGCAGTTCCACTGAGTGTCTATAGGGGGCGCACAGTGCGCGAGCGCGTGCCCAGTGCTGCTCAGATGCGCGCTCATCTCCACCACCATCATCATCTCCTCCATCATCCTCATCCTCATCATGTCTGTGGTGGATCCGACAGTCCTGCACGGCGTCTGGGGCAGCAGCGCGCCCGCGGGAATGGAGAAGCCGAAGAACAAGGGCTTCAGCCTGGCCAGGATGATGACTCTGAACTACAGGAAGGAGAAGGAGAAGGAGAACCAGAACCAGAACCAGCACCACAACAACAACATGCCCTTCATGATCCACTGCCACATCGGCAAGGAGATCAAGCACATATGCAGCAACTGCAGCCGCGGCAGCCACGCGCGTCAGGACGGTGAGGAACGCGTGCGTTCATGCGCTCATTTAGCGCTGGCAGTCTCATTACATGTCTACAGCCGTGTGTGTGCGTCAGATGATGGGCGTCGCGTCGCGTTCACCCAGGACGCGGTCTCGCGTTCTGCTTTTGTTTATATTAATTATTATTATCATGTACACATGCGACAGACGCACGTGCGTCGCGTATAGCGCCGCGTTTTTAATGTAAACGCGCTAAAAGTGGATACGTGTTTGCTATTTTTCAGTTGTCGGTCTGTCTGTATACAGACACGCGTTACATGGGCGTCTCTACTGGGGGTTTTTCATTGTGATTTCTTTCTTTTCAGTGTGGTTTTAAAAAAATAAAATAAATATTCAGCTGATTTCATTGGTAAACACAACCATTCTTTCACCTGTCAACAAAAAAGTACAGACTAAAGAAATATCATTGCGACAAACAGTTATGCTGGCTATCAGGATGTTCTAACAATACTATACTTAGTTTACAGTCACCATGAATTAAAACAGAAGTTGTTTCAGTCTTTTCTTCAATATTGTGCCATATCTCAGTGAAACGCTTCTGAAACAAGAACAAATGTGGGCGGGGCTTGTTTTTGAGGAATTAATTGGATGGTTGTGGTTTGCTATTGGTGGATCTCATGTGAGTGACAGGTTATAGCCCCGCCCACATCATCAGAGAAGATGGTTATTCTGATTCTAGATCACCAGGAACATGAATTTAACACAATAATGATTATGGATATTAATATGGATATTTTTCTGCGTGGCTTGGCTTCAGAAGGCCTTTATTAACCCCTGAAGTTGTATTTATTACTTTTATGATGGAGGGATGTGCTTTTCAGGGCTTCACAATCTCATCCCCCATTCACTGCCACTATAAAGCTGGGAAGAGCCAGGTTATGTTTTAATATAACTCTGATTGTGTTTGTCATATTAGGATGACTTGAGGGAGAGTACATCATGGGGTAATGTTCAGGTTTGTATGAACTATCCCTTTAAGGTGAAAGGCTTTCGGCTTCATTGACTGTAATGTGATGATGTAGTTTCGGTCAGGGCAGATCATACAGCAAACGTGCCGTCATATTAAATCCCATGGTTTAATCCGCTTCATTAAAGTCCTCTCTGATTAATGCATGTCACGCGTGTGTTAATGTGATTAGGATGTAAGTATAAATACTCCAACACGTGCTTCAAACATGTCCTTCATCACAGCTCGTCCTCATGATCACATGACCCTGCTCTCGTCACACACTGATGCTGACTGCTCTTCTAGAAGTGTGTGTGTGTGTGTGTGTGTGTGTGTCAGTAGGGACTGTGTTTGACCTACTTCTTCAGTTTAAGCACTTCCAGTGAATGCTCCAGTTTGAGCCTGTGTTACTCCAGTTTGGGCCTGTGTTCCTCCAGTTTGAGCCTGTGTTCTCCCAGTTTGAGCCTGTGTTCCTCCAGTTTGAGCCTTTGTTCCTCCAATTTGGGCCTGTGTTACTCCAGTTTGGGCCTGTGTTCCTCCAGTTTGAGCCTGTGTTCTCCCAGTTTGAGCCTTTGTTCCTCCAGTTTGAGCCTGTGTTCTCCCAGTTTGGGCCTTTGTTCCTCCAGTTTGAGCCTGTGTTCCTCCAGTTTGAGCCTGTGTTCCTCCAGTTTGGGCCTGTGTTACTCCAGTTTGGGCCTGTGTTCCTCCAGTTTGAGCCTGTGTTCCCCCAGTTTGAGCCTGTGTTCCCCCAGTTTGAGCCTTTGTTCCTCCAGTTTGAGCCTGTGTTCCTTCAGTTTGGGCCTGTGTTCCCCCAGTTTGAGCCTGTGTTCCTCCAGTTTGAGCCTGTGTTCCTCCAGTTTGAGCCTGTGTTCCTCCAGTTTGAGCCTGTGTTCCCCCAGTTTGAGCCTGTGTTCCTCCAGTTTGAGCCTGTGTTCCTCCAGTTTGAGCCTGTGTTCCTCCAGTTTGGGCCTGTGTTCCCCCAGTTTGAGCCTGTGTTCCTCCAGTTTGGGCCTGTGTTCCTCCAGTTTGGGCCTGTGTTCCCCCAGTTTGGGCCTTGAGCCTGTGTTCCCCCAGTTTGAGCCTGTGTTCCTCCAGTTTGAGCCTGTGTTCCTCCAGTTTGAGCCTGTGTTCCTCCAGTTTGAGCCTGTGTTCCCCCAGTTTGAGCCTGTGTTACTCCAGTTTGAGCCTGTGTTCTCCCAGTTTGAGCCTGTGTTCCTCCAGTTTGAGCCTGTGTTCCTTCAGTTTGAGCCTGTGTTCCTCCAGTTTGAGCCTGTGTTCCTCCAGTTTGAGCCTGTGTTCCCCCAGTTTGAGCCTGTGTTCCCCCAGTTTGAGCCTGTGTTCCCCCAGTTTGAGCCTGTGTTCCTCCAGTTTGGGCCTGTGTTCCCCCAGTTTGGGCCTGTGTTCCTTCAGTTTGAGCCTGTGTTCCTCCAGTTTGAGCCTGTGTTCCTCCAGTTTGAGCCTGTGTTCCTCCAGTTTGAGCCTGTGTTCCTCCAGTTTGAGCCTGTGTTCCTCCAGTTTGAGCCTGTGTTCCCCCAGTTTGAGCCTGTGTTCCCCCAGTTTGAGCCTGTGTTCCCCCAGTTTGGGCCTGTGTTCCTTCAGTTTGAGCCTGTGTTCCTCCAGTTTGAGCCTGTGTTCCTCCAGTTTGAGCCTGTGTTCCTCCAGTTTGAGCCTGTGTTCCTCCAGTTTGAGCCTGTGTTCCTCCAGTTTGAGCCTGTGTTCCTCCAGTTTGAGCCTGTGTTCCTCCAGTTTGAGCCTGTGTTCCTCAAGTTTCAGCCTGTGTTCCCCCAGTTTGAGCCTGTGTTCCCCCAGTTTGAGCCTGTGTTCCCCCAGTTTGAGCCTGTGTTCCTCCAGTTTGGGCCTGTGTTCCCCCAGTTTGAGCCTGTGTTCCTTCAGTTTGAGCCTGTGTTCCTCCAGTTTGAGCCTGTGTTCCTCCAGTTTGAGCCTTTGTTCCTCCAGTTTGAGCCTTTGTTCCTCCAGTTTGAGCCTGTGTTTCTCCAGTTTGAGCCTGTGTTCCCCCAGTTTGAGCCTGTGTTCCCCCAGTTTGGGCCTGTGTTCCCCCAGTTTGGGCCTGTGTTCCCCCAGTTTGGGCCTGTGTTCCTCCAGTTTGAGCCTGTGTTCCTCCAGTTTGAGCCTGTGTTCCCCCAGTTTGAGCCTGTGTTCCTCCAGTTTGAGCCTGTGTTCCTCCAGTTTGAGCCTGTGTTCCTCCAGTTTGAGCCTGTGTTCTCCCAGTTTGAGCCTGTGTTCCTCCAGTTTGAGCCGTTGTGTTCCCCCAGTTTGAGCCGTTGTGTTCCCCTAGTTTGAGCATGTGTTCCCCCAGTTTGAGCCTGTGTTCCTCCAGTTTGAGCCTGTGTTCCTCCAGTTTGAGCCTGTGTTCCTCCAGTTTGAGCCTGTGTTCCCCCAGTTTGAGCCTGTGTTCCTCCAGTTTGGGCCTGTGTTCCCCCAGTTTGGGCCTGTGTTCCTTCAGTTTGAGCCTGTGTTCCTCCAGTTTGAGCCTGTGTTCCTCCAGTTTGAGCCTGTGTTCCTCCAGTTTGAGCCTGTGTTCCTCCAGTTTGAGCCTGTGTTCCTCCAGTTTGAGCCTGTGTTCCTCCAGTTTGAGCCTGTGTTCCTCCAGTTTGAGCCTGTGTTCCTCCAGTTTGAGCCTGTGTTCCCCCAGTTTGAGCCTGTGTTCTTCCAGTTTGAGCCTGTGTTCCTCCAGTTTGAGCCGTTGTGTTCCCCCAGTTTGAGCCGTTGTTCCTCCAGTTGAGCGTGTGTGTGTGTGTGTTCCTCTAGTTTGAGCATGTGTGTGTGTGTTCCCCCACAGCAGAAGAGGTGGAGAAGCTGTCCTCCATGCGCTCCGAGTCTCTGGTGCCGCCCGGCCACTGCCGGAGCAAGTTCTCCACGCTGGGACGCCTCTTCAAGCCCTGGAAGTGGAGGAAGAACAAGAGCGAGACCTTCAAGCAGAGGTCCACAGGTAAACGCTTCTTTCTCTTCTATACATTCTGTATTAAAACCAAAATACACCAATAATACAACGGGACAGACGCGTGTATCCGAAGCGACTTGCATTGCATCCAAGGTGCAAATTTGATCAGTTCACTGGGAATTGAACCCATGACCTTTGGTGTTACTAGTGTAGTTGTTTGAGCTACAGGAAAACTTTCAATCTTGCAAAATATTGAGTTTATAGAACTGCAAAATGCTGCATCTGGCAAGAACACAAATATATTTCCTAAGTAGGGGTGGGAATCGCAGGGTACCTCACGATCACGATACAGCAATTCTGTGATAATTGATATATATCGCTAGACAATCCTATGAGACTATACCCGAGATCTAGTTTACATTGACACACTTAGATCCCAGAAGTCCTATTGCTTTAGCGAAGCAGCATGTCAATGTCACTCAAGATCTCCTCATCATGTTATGTTGTGTGTGGCTCGTTTGTATCCAGACAACCTGCTCTGAATACGACTCATGGCTTTGGTTGCGCATCGAGGGCTTTATTCAGTAATGTGTTTGCATGAGCATGTCTGCCTCAATTGAGCACGTACGTTTTTTATGTGCATCTTGGTGTTTCCACCCGGCTATTTTCTTTCATGCGATATCCCGAAACGAGCAGAAGCAGTCTGATGGAGGCGTAGCTGATGAAGATCATGAGAGAGCATGTGTCTGGTACTGCATCATGTTTAGGAGAAGCACGTCCCGTGATGTTTGATATTTCTCAACTCTTGACTCTGTAGAGGACCTTAGTGAGACCTGTTGTTCCCGCTGATGTCAGTCCCGGATTGTGTTGATCTGTGGGTTTGTTGGGACAGGGGAAGTGCTGCTATTGATCAGTTGAGGGAATGTTCTGGGTTCAGCGCGTATAAAGGGTTATAACCTTAAAGTTATGAACAAACATTCTTCCAGCTTTAATATATTATTCATACATCGTTCATGGCATGTTGTTTGTTTGTTTTTAAATGTTACTACTTGTTTCAGAACAATCGCATAAAGTTTGAAGAATGATGGAATGCAATGTTATTTTAACGTTTTTATTACCAAGAAAAAACATTTTTAAAGCGTTTCAAACTGGTCGTTTTGAACCTGCAGAGAACATTCATAAATAACGTTTTTTAAACCTCAATGGGAACCCAGTAAACTACATCATTACATATTTACTGATGAGTTTGACTGGTGATGATGCGGCATCAATATAATATCAGAAGAAATAAACGAAAACGTCATATGCAGATTGAGTTGTGATAGCCCAAAACTGAGAAACGATTGGGCTAAAAGGATAAGTGTGTCATTAATGTAAAATGCCCAATCAGAGATTCTATGCAAATGTTTGCATTGTTGCAATTTATTAGGATATTAGAATAACGACAGATGAATAAGCAAATCCTGCTGTCATTCCTCAAACATCTGCTTATTAAACCCTCAAACTGTATATCCTTCATCTCCATATATCCTTGTTTTGTTGATCAGTGTAGTGTAGATGACCTCACACATCCCATATTGACTCTAGACAGCCACCAACATAGTCAAAACAGAACTTATTCAGACATCAGATATCATTTACTAGTAGTGTTACATATGTGAATAGTTTGCATGTGTGTTTTGATGGCGCTATTGATCAGTGTAGATTAAATCACAGACCCACGCTGACTCCAGATCAGCCATCATGATATCACACACACTCTGATTCGCAGTGTGACTGAGCTCTCGAGTGTTTGTGGTCCAGCAGATGAGAAGGGTCTGTTCTGTCCCAGTGTCCCGAGGCGTGACCACACTGAGCTGTCCCTCACCTCTCGCTCTTCATCTGTGTTCCCAGCGCTGGAGAGGAAGATGTGTGCGCGCCAGAGCCGGGACGAGCTGATCCAGAGAGGCGTGCTGAAGGAGATCTTCCAGAAAGGTCAGTCACCGGACGAGAAGGACATGGAGACACGGCGGCACGCAATCCAATCCAAACGTCTACATTGACTCTGTATTGAGTGAAGCTCCTGCTTGTCAGCAAACAACAAAACAATGTCTACAAGCGGCTGTGTGACGGGGTGTACAGCAAACAAGCTGAAAAACCCAGAAACACGCTTTTATTAGCGGTCGACCCCAAAATACGAGCGTTTTTGGACACAAAAGTGGATTCAGGCGATTGAGACCGAGCTCAACATGTCCTGTTACTCTGAGAACTGACTTACGCCCGCTGGAGGCGACAGGGTAGCGCACCTTACAGAAATATAACATATAAAACTGACATTTGGATATTTGACTCACCAGTGAGACACAAAATGTGTACTGCACACTTAAGGTCCTTTCACACTGGACGCGATTTATTCGCGCGATAGTTTTATTTTTGATCAGCTGTTTGTGTAACGAGTGCTTCCACACCGAACGCGAATGTGCCGCGGCGAAAAACGACTTATTTTTTTCGCTTCGATGTCGATTTTTTATTTACTTTTGCGGCGACAGAAAAGGCTTCAGCCAATCACATACAGGGAAACAAAGGTGAAGCTTGTTGACGCTTTGGCCGCTCTGACGTAGCAGCATTATGTGCGAGAGAAGAGAAGTGTCACAACATGAAATGTAAACTAAAAACAAGCAATACATTAAAACTAGAAACCTTTTATAATGACAGCATTTTTATATGGCCTATTCCGCATCATTTATGACATGACGGTGTTTGCTTATAGGGAGCAGTTAAGAACGAGGCATGGGATAACATAGCTGGGATAGTTGGTGTCTCCGGCGAGTTGATAAAGTGCGTGCTGAGAAATAATTGATTTTGAATTTTTTCAACATTCATGGTTGTGTGTTTCATATTATTTTTGCATGGATGTATAGGCCACACACCAGAGCATGTGCGTAAATAAACCAGAGCGGGGTGACGCTTAAATAGACCTATAAGTAAAAAAACTCAAACATACGTTTCATATATACGTTTAAATAATATAATGCTATTTTTTTTATTTCATCTATGATGATTAGCTATATGGGAACCGCATGAGATGAGTAGCCTCAAGGATCATAAGATGCCCAATATATCGAAAACATTTGGAATGGGTCAGACAAAATTTTGGCCACTTATTAAGTTTTGTTTTGTAGAAAGCCTTTCTTTAAAGTGAATTTCGTTATGTATAAATTGTATCTTAATTTTAATCAATGTTTCATCAACAAATTGCCTGGATTAATAGGAATAAGAAGCAAATATAGTAGACAATATAATTAGGACACGGAGGCGCCGGCGCGTGAACTGGAGCGTGTCTCACACCGAAAACACTTTATTAATAAACAATTCAAATGTTTAATGCATAATCCTTACTTTGGCCGGTTCTTTGTGGCAAAGTTTTAGCTACTTTACAAGATTAGCATACTCCCCTTCAGACTCTCTGTTCTTTAAGATTGGGTGCACACAAAACCTTCTTTTCTGTCTTTTAAAGAAAACGAAAAGCTCGTCTTCACTGGATGATGATGATGATGATGATGTGTCCGTGTTTTCTCAGCTGTCGGCGCAAAAGTTTTGGAATGTAGAAGCTCTGAACGTCGCAAATTCGCGTCGCGGCTGATGTGAATGGTTTTGACGCGGACTATTCGCTTTTTCGTTCCGCGTCCGGTGTGAAAGGGCCTTTAGGCCGTGTGTCCACTGAAGCGTTTCTACACGCGGCTGGCGTATTTTTTCAGTTGTTTTCAATGGGAGCGCCGCGTTTGTTAAACGCCATGAGCGTAACGAGTTTTTTTCACGCTGAAGCGCCCGGCGTTTTTCACCGGTCGCCGAGAGTTGGAGAATGTTCAACTTTGGGTAAAACCACTGATCTATATAGAATGACATTATATAGATCAGTGGGTAAAACGCAGCGCTCATCACTGTCACTTTTACCCAGCCGTCCAATCACAGTGGAGGAGGGGCGGGGCTAATACCACACCGGCCAACCGCCACATTCTGATTGTACAACGTCAACAGACGACAACAACAAGCACAATAACGGAACAAAATCATTTAAAAATAGCCAGAGAAAATACATTACATCGTATCGACAGTTTAATATAGAATCAACACAGAAACAAAATGTGTGTGGATGAGATACTAGTAACACTTTTGCAGATATTCTGTATCATAACAAGCAAAGCGTCTCAAAGCGCTCTCAAGCGGCCACAGCAGAGCTAAAACGCTTTAGTGGACACACGGCGTAGTGTATTTTCAGTGTCCCACACTTTACCCATTCTCCAGCTGATGCTTCACGTCTTATCGCCTGTATCCACTTCTGTGTCCTTAAACGCTCGTTTTTTGGGGTCGACTGCTTATAAAAGCGTATTTCTGGGTTTCTCAGCTTGTTTGCTGGACACCCCGTCACACAGCCGCTTGTAGACATTTAGTTTTTTGCTATAAGCCATAAATGACAAAGAGGCAGCTTCACACAATACAGAGTCAATGGAGACTGGTGGGTTGTCCCCCCCGGTGTGGGCGTGGCCTAAATGTGCTCTATTGCTGGAGTTCCTCATGTAATACTTATTTCATATGCAAAGATGTGAGCCAATCACAGCAGAGGGCGTTTACATTGAGCTCTTAAAGGAGACACGCCCCTTTACAACCTTCGAGCCAATATCAGGGTAGAAATGGACATTTATTTCTAAATAATGTAAAACTCTTACTAACATTATCCCCAGGTTTCACGGACAAGGCTTAAGATAGTCTCAGACTAAAATGCTTGTTTGAGCTGTTTTACTTAAAAGCAAATCTTAAAATATGTCACTGCCATTGTTCTGTCTCAAGATGCACACCAGTGTTGTTTTTTCTAAGGCACGTTTATAAAAGCGACTTAAGTGTCCTAATTGAGCGGCGTAAGCCTGGTGTAATCTGAGCCTGTCTGTGGAAGCGGGCCGAGGAGTTGAGCTCAGGAAAGTGTTTGTGCTCGCCAGACTCCAGGGTCCCGGGACTGAAGCAGAGCAATCCCTCAGGAGCAGACTGTGAGCGCACAGCAGACGTCCCAGACCGGCAGAGGACCGGTGAGTGTGTGTGTGTGTGTGAGCGCACATCAGACATCCCAGACCGGCAGAGGACCGGTGAGTGTGTGTGTGTGTTAGGGCTGTCACGATCCCTCGATTAAAGTCGAGTATTCGATTTAAAAAAGTCCTCGATTGCAGTTTACCCGTGTCGAGTAACCGGTAAAATACCGTAAGCGGCGCGTTCCCCAGACGAGAATCCACGAGCCGCATTATTACATCGTTTCCTAAGGCTACGCGATATATTTAAAACCATTAGCAATCATAATTTAGCATAGTGCTATTGTGAAATCATAAAGGCTGCGATCCAGTTAAATAAATACGCTGTTTTTTTCCACAGAGAAGCGAGGTTTTAATTATTGGCATGTGTGCAGATTACATGCTAAACCACCTCAGCTGCGCACAGTAACTCTGCTCACACACACTCGTCTCTGCATGTGCTGTGTTTAGCTTTCCAGTAATGTGCATTTGGGAACGCAAAAACTCAGAGTGGTTTGTGTTTCATAGTTGCACTGTTATCATTTATATGTGTGGAGCGTCTCGGGTTTCTCACGCTGTGAGTGTGTGTTGCTTAACGTTCATCTGGGAACCCAGTGTGTGCCATTTCACCAGATTTGTAAACCTACGCCTACACAGGAGAAAACAAATATGTTTCTAAATATGCAAATTGTTGTTCATCGCGATTTCAAAATAAAACCCCTCGCTCTGAGTTTGCATGTTTTGATTTCCACATGTTCTTGTTCAGGAAAGCGGCTGTAGCGTTTCTATCGTACAGAAGAGGCCTAATATGAAAGATTAAGTGGACATTTGAATTAAATGTTGTTTGGCCGAAATTGAACAAGGATTTGATCACGCCGTAGTGTAACAACAACTAACACCAGGCCGTCGGCGCCCTCTGCAGGCGTTTGATATAATGCGTAATGTACATTTACATTTAATCATTTAGCAGACGCTTTTATCCAAAGTGACTTACAAATGAGGAGAGCAATAGAAGCAATTAAACTAACAATAGGTCAACAGTATGCAAGTGCTGTAACAAGCCTCAGTTAGTCTAGCACAGTACACGTAGCAAGGTTTTTTGTTTAGTTTTTTAAATCAGAAAGAACAAAACAAATAGAATAGAAAAGGTAAGTGCTAATATGAATTGGTCAGGTGCTGATGAAAAAGATGCGTCTTCAGCAGTGTCTTGAAAGCGGCTACAGACTCTGCTTGGTGAAGGTCAGTGATAGTGAGTTTGTGCCTCTTTGGGAAGATGGCACGCCGTTCACATGCAGAACACAAACTTCTGGAGGACACATCGGTCTGGAGTAGTGTGTTTAGGTATAGGGGAGCTGAGCCATTGGTGGTTCTGTAGGCAAACATCAGTGCCTTGACTCTGGTGCGAGCAGCTGTTGGGAACCGAGAGGAGTGACGTGCGTCTCTTCGGCTGAAATGAAAGGTAGAGTTGTGTGTCATCAGCGTAGTGAAAGGAAAAGCCATGTTTCTGAATGACAGATCCTAGTGATGAGATGTGGATGGAGAAGAGAAGCGGTCCCAGCACTGAGCCCTGAGGCACTCCAGTAGCTAGATGATAACAGTGATGGGATAAACCATGTTTCTGAATGACAGATCCTAGTGATGACATGTAGATGGAGAAGAGAGGCGGTCCCAGCACTGAGCCCTGAGGCACTCCAGTAGCTAGATGATAACAGTGATGGGATAAACCATGTTTCTGAATGACAGATCCTAGTGATGACATGTAGATGGAGAAGAGAAGCGGTCCCAGCACTGAGCCCTGAGGCACTCCAGTAGCTAGATGATAACAGTGATGGGATAAACCATGTTTTTGAATGACAGACACTAGTGATGACATGTAGATGGAGAAGAGAAGTGGTTCCAGCACTGAGCCCTGAGGCACTCCAGTAGCTAGATGATAACAGTGATGGGATAAGCCATGTTTCTGAGTGACAGACACTAGTGATGACATGTAGATGGAGAAGAGAAGTGGTTCCAGCACTGAGCCCTGAGGCACTCCAGTAGCTAGATGATAACAGTGATGGGATAAGCCATGTTTCTGAGTGACAGACACTAGTGATGACATGTAGATGGAGAAGAGAAGTGGTTCCAGCACTGAGCCCTGAGGCACTCCAGTAGCTAGATGATAACAGTGATGGGATAAACCATGTTTCTGAATGACAGACACTAGTGATGACATGTAGATGGAGAAGAGAAGCAGTCCCAGCACTGAGCCCTGAGGCACTCCAGTAGCTAGATGATAACAGTGATGGGATAAACCATGTTTTTGAATGACAGACACTAGTGATGACATGTAGATGGAGAAGAGAAGTGGTTCCAGCACTGAGCCCTGAGGCACTCCAGTAGCTAGATGATAACAGTGATGGGATAAACCATGTTTCTGAATGACAGACACTAGTGATGACATGTAGATGGAGAAGAGAAGCAGTCCTAGCACTGAGCCCTGAGGCACTCCAGTAGCTAGATGATAACAGTGATGGGATAAACCATGTTTCTGAATGACAGACACTAGTGATGACATGTAGATGGAGAAGAGAAGCAGTCCTAGCACTGAGCCCTGAGGCACTCCAGTAGCTAGATGATAACAGTGATGGGATAAGCCATGTTTCTGAGTGACAGACACTAGTGATGACATGTAGATGGAGAAGAGAAGCAGTCCTAGCACTGAGCCCTGAGGCACTCCAGTAGCTAGATGATAACAGTGATGGGATAAACCATGTTTTTGAATGACAGACACTAGTGATGACATGTAGATGGAGAAGAGAAGTGGTTCCAGCACTGAGCCCTGAGGCACTCCAGTAGCTAGATGATAACAGTGATGGGATAAGCCATGTTTCTGAGTGACAAACACTAGTGATGACATGTAGATGGAGAAGAGAAGTGGTTCCAGCACTGAGCCCTGAGGCACTCCAGTAGCTAGATGATAACAGTGATGGGATAAACCATGTTTCTGAATGACAGACACTAGTGATGACATGTAGATGGAGAAGAGAAGCAGTCCCAGCACTGAGCCCTGAGGCACTCCAGTAGCTAGATGATAACAGTGATGGGATAAACCATGTTTTTGAATGACAGACACTAGTGATGACATGTAGATGGAGAAGAGAAGTGGTTCCAGCACTGAGCCCTGAGGCACTCCAGTAGCTAGATGATAACAGTGATGGGATAAACCATGTTTCTGAGTGACAGACACTAGTGATGACATGTAGATGGAGAAGAGAAGCAGTCCCAGCACTGAGCCCTGAGGCACTCCAGTAGCTAGATGATAACAGTGATGGGATAAACCATGTTTCTGAGTGACAGACACTAGTGATGACATGTAGATGGAGAAGAGAAGCAGTCCCAGCACTGAGCCCTGAGGCACTCCAGTAGCTAGATGATAACAGTGATGGGATAAACCATGTTTCTGAATGACAGACACTAGTGATGACATGTAGATGGAGAAGAGAAGCAGTCCCAGCACTGAGCGCTGAGGCACTCCAGTAGCTAGATGATAACAGTGATGGGATAAGCCATGTTTCTGAGTGACAGACACTAGTGATGACATGTAGATAGAGAAGAGAAGCAGTCCCAGCACTGAGCCCTGAGGCACTCCAGTAGTTAGATGATAACAGTGATGGGATAAACCATGTTTCTGAATGACAGGCACTAGTGATGACATGTAGATGGAGAAGAGAAGCAGTCCCAGCACTGAGCCCTGAGGCACTCCAGTAGCTAGATGATAACAGTGATGGGATAAGCCATGTTTCTGAATGACAGACACTAGTGATGACATGTAGATGGAGAAGAGAAGCAGTCCCAGCACTGAGCCCTGAGGCACTCCAGTAGTTAGATGATAACAGTGATGGGATAAACCATGTTTCTGAATGACAGACACTAGTGATGACATGTAGATGGAGAAGAAGTGGTTCCAGCACTGAGCCATGAGGCACTCCAGTAGCTAGATGATAACAGTGATGGGAAAAACCATGTTTTTGAATGACAGACACTAGTGATGACATGTAGATGGAGAAGAGAAGCAGTCCCAGCACTGAGCCCTGAGGCACTCCAGTAGCTAGATGATAACAGTGATGGGAAAAACCATGTTTTTGAATGACAGACACTAGTGATGACATGTAGATGGAGAAGAGAAGCAGTCCCAGCACTGAGCCCTGAGGCACTCCAGTAGCTAGATGATAACAGTGATGGGATAAACCATGTTTCTGAATGACAGACACTAGTGATGACATGTAGATGGAGAAGAAGTGGTTCCAGCACTGAGCCATGAGGCACTCCAGTAGCTAGATGATAACAGTGATGGGAAAAACCATGTTTTTGAATGACAGACACTAGTGATGACATGTAGATGGAGAAGAGAAGCAGTCCCAGCACTGAGCCCTGAGGCACTCCAGTAGCTAGATGATAACAGTGATGGGAAAAACCATGTTTTTGAATGACAGACACTAGTGATGACATGTAGATGGAGAAGAGAAGCAGTCCCAGCACTGAGCCCTGAGGCACCCCAGTAGCTAGATGATAACTGTGATGGGATAAACCATGTTTCTGAATGACAGACACTAGTGATGACATGTAGATGGAGAAGAGAAGCAGTCCCAGCACTGAGCCCTGAGGCACTCCAGTAGCTAGATGATAACAGTGATGGGAAAAACCATGTTTTTGAATGACAGACACTAGTGATGACATGTAGATGGAGAAGAGAAGCGGTCCCAGCACTGAGCCCTGAGGCACTCCAGTAGCTAGATGATAACAGTGATGGGATAAACCATGTTTTTGAATGACAGACACTAGTGATGACATGTAGATGGAGAAGAGAAGTGGTTCCAGCACTGAGCCCTGAGGCACTCCAGTAGCTAGATGATAGCAGTGATGCGATAAACCATGTTTTTGAATGACAGACACTAGTGATGACATGTAGATGGAGAAGAGAAGTGGTCCCAGCACTGAGCCCTGAGGCACTCCAGTAGCTAGATGATAACAGTGATGGGATAAGCCATGTTTCTGAGTGACAGACACTAGTGATGACATGTAGATGGAGAAGAGAAGCAGTCCCAGCACTGAGCCCTGAGGCACTCCAGTAGCTAGATGATAACAGTGATGGGATAAACCATGTTTCTGAATGACAGACACTAGTGATGACATGTAGATGGAGAAGAGAAGCAGTCCCAGCACTGAGCCCTGAGGCACTCCAGTAGCTAGATGATAACAGTGATGGGAAAAACCATGTTTTTGAATGACAGACACTAGTGATGACATGTAGATGGAGAAGAGAAGCAGTCCCAGCACTGAGCCCTGAGGCACTCCAGTAGCTAGATGATAACAGTGATGGGATAAACCATGTTTCTGAATGACAGACACTAGTGATGACATGTAGATGGAGAAGAGAAGCAGTCCCAGCACTGAGCCCTGAGGCACTCCAGTAGCTAGATGATAACAGTGATGGGAAAAACCATGTTTTTGAATGACAGACACTAGTGATGACATGTAGATGGAGAAGAGAAGCGGTCCCAGCACTGAGCCCTGAGGCACTCCAGTAGCTAGATGATAACAGTGATGGGATAAACCATGTTTTTGAATGACAGACACTAGTGATGACATGTAGATGGAGAAGAGAAGTGGTTCCAGCACTGAGCCCTGAGGCACTCCAGTAGCTAGATGATAACAGTGATGGGATAAACCATGTTTTTGAATGACAGACACTAGTGATGACATGTAGATGGAGAAGAGAAGTGGTCCCAGCACTGAGCCCTGAGGCACTCCAGTAGCTAGATGATAACAGTGATGGGATAAACCATGTTTCTGAATGACAGACACTAGTGATGACATGTAGATGGAGAAGAGAAGCAGTCCCAGCACTGAGCCTTGAGGCACTCCAGTAGCTAGATGATAACAGTGATGGGAAAAACCATGTTTTTGAATGACAGACACTAGTGATGACATGTAGATGGAGAAGAGAAGTGGTTCCTGCACTGAGCCCTGAGGCACTCCAGTAGTTAGATGATAACAGTGATGGGATAAACCATGTTTCTGAATGACAGACACTAGTGATGACATGTAGATGGAGAAGAGAAGCAGTCCCAGCACTGAGCCTTGAGGCACTCCAGTAGCTAGATGATAACAGTGATGGGATAAACCATGTTTCTGAATGACAGACACTAGTGATGACATGTAGATGGAGAAGAGAAGCAGTCCCAGCACTGAGCCTTGAGGCACTCCAGTAGCTAGATGATAACAGTGATGGGATAAACCATGTTTCTGAATGACAGACACTAGTGATGACATGTAGATGGAGAAGAGAAGCAGTCCCAGCACTGAGCCTTGAGGCACTCCAGTAGCTAGATGATAACAGTGATGGGAAAAACCATGTTTCTGAATGACAGACACTAGTGATGACATGTAGATGGAGAAGAGAAGCAGTCCCAGCACTGAGCCTTGAGGCACTCCAGTAGCTAGATGATAACAGTGATGGGAAAAACCATGTTTTTGAATGACAGACACTAGTGATGACATGTAGATGGAGAAGAGAAGCAGTCCCAGCACTGAGCCTTGAGGCACTCCAGTAGCTAGATGATAACAGTGATGGGATAAACCATGTTTTTGAATGACAGACACTAGTGATGACATGTAGATGGAGAAGAGGCCCCAGCACTGAGCCCTGAGGCACTCCAGTAGCTAGATGATAACAGTGATGGGATAAACCATGTTTTTGAATGAGAGACACTAGTGGACATGTAGATGGAGAAGAGAAGTGGCCCCAGCACTGAGCCCTGAGGCACTCCAGTAGTTAGATAAAAACAGTGATAGGATAAACCATGTTTTTGAATGAGAGACACTAGCGATGGCATGTAGATGGAGATGAGAAGAGGCCCCAGCACTGAGCCCTGAGGCACTCCAGTAGTTAGATGATAACAGTGATGGGATAAACCATGTTTCTGAATGAAAGATCCTAGTGATGACATGTAGATGGAGAAGAGAGGCGGTCCCAGCACTGAGCCCTGAGGCACTCCAGTAGTTAGATGATAACAGTGATGGGATAAACCATGTTTCTGAATGAAAGATCCTAGTGATGACATGTAGATGGAGAAGAGAGGCGGTCCCAGCACTGAGCCCTGAGGCACTCCAGTAGCTAAATGATAACAGTGATAGGATAAACCATGTTTTTGAATGACAGTGTAATAGCACATTTTCTATTAAACAATCATCAAAGCATAAGAGACAGTCTGAGAATTAAAAATGATTTATTTCTTGCAAGAAAGGTTCAGTTGTTCCACAGAGGTAGTCAATGTACAGTCTGCGACACAAGTGTGAACGAAGAATGGAAGGGGAGCGCAGTTTTTTATACTCCTATCTCAAGGTCTGTGCTTGGGGTCAAAGTCCATCCGTTTCTCCCCGTCCATCCTTCTCACCTGCTCGCTTCAATCAGCAAATCAGCAGTAGCAGGATTCATTGGTTTGGAAGAGATGGGAATAATTCTGCCATAACAACAGACACTAGTGATGACATGTAGATGGAGAAGAGGCCCCAGCACTGAGCCCTGAGGCACTCCAGTAGCTAGATGATAACAGTGATGGGATAAACCATGTTTCTGAATGACAGATCCTAGTGATGACATGTAGATGGAGAAGAGAAGCGGTCCCAGCACTGAGCCCTGAGGCACTCACGTAGCTAGATGATAACAGTGATGGGATAAACCATGTTTCTGAATGACAGATCCTAGTGATGACATGTAGATGGAGAAGAGAAGCGGTCCCAGCACTGAGCCCTGAGGCACTCCAGTAGTTAGATGATAACAGTGATAGGATAAACCATGTTTTTGAATGAGAGACACTAGCGATGGCATGTAGATGGAGATGAGAAGAGGCCCCAGCACTGAGCCCTGAGGCACTTCAGTAGTTAGATGATAACAGTGATGGGATAAACCATGTTTCTGAATGACAGATCCTAGTGATGACATGTAGATGGAGAAGAGAGGCGGTCCCAGCACTGAGCCCTGAGGCACTCCAGTAGCTAAATGATAACAGTGATAGGATAAACCATGTTTTTGAATGACAGTGTAATAGCAAATTTTCTATTAAACAATTATCAAAGCATAAGAGACAGTCTGAGAATTAAAAATGATTTATTTCTTGCAAGAAAGGTTCAGTTGTTCCACAGAGGTAGTCAATGTACAGTCTGCGACACAAGTGTGAACGAAGAATGGAAGGGGAGCGCAGTTTTTTATACTCCTATCTCAAGGTCTGTGCTTGGGGTCAAAGTCCATCCGTTTCTCCCCGTCCATCCTTCTCACCTGCTCGCTTCAATCAGCAAATCAGCAGTAGCAGGATTCATTGGTTTGGAAGAGATGGGAATAATTCTGCCATAACAACAGACACTAGTGATGACATGTAGATGGAGAAGAGGCCCCAGCACTGAGCCCTGAGGCACTCCAGTAGCTAGATGATAACAGTGATGGGATAAACCATGTTTCTGAATGACAGATCCTAGTGATGACATGTAGATGGAGAAGAGAAGCGGTCCCAGCACTGAGCCCTGAGGCACTCACGTAGCTAGATGATGGGTCTTAGACACCTCACCTCACCCCTCCACGAAACCTGAGATTGCAGTGCGGATCCCGAGATGTCCTTCGTCTTTATGATTGACAGGAGCATCTGGTGGTTAACTGTGTCAAACGCAGGAGATCCAGCAGGATGAGGACTGAGGACGTGTAAGCGGCTCTCGCCAGTCTCAGAGCCTCAGTAACCGAGAGCAGGGCCGTCTCAGTTGAGGAAAGCTTCTGAAGCCAGACTGGCTGCTGTCCAGCAGGCTGTTCTGTGTAAGAAAGAGAGAGACTTGGTTGAACACGACTCAAGTGTTTTAGCAATGATTGGAAGAAGGGATACCGGTCTGTAATTTTCCAGATGTGCTGGATTTAGAGTGGGTTTCTTTAGCAGTGGGGGTTACCCGAGCCTCTTAAATGCTGTGGGAAAGGTACCAGTGGGACGAGGGGGCAAAGAAGAGAAGAGAAGGTCAATTGGTTCTGACTAGTTGTGTTCTGACTTAAGCTCAAAAACGTGAGTTTTTTTATTTGCGCCACTTGCTCTCCGCAGCCCTGAGTCTACAGCGACGTTCACGGAGGACAACGGACATAAGTCATGTTTATATTAGTTTATATCATTTATTTTACATGGTGTATTTTAACGGTGTTGTTCAATAAAACCCATATGATTACTTTGATACTTTATTTGAACCAATTATAATTGGTTGTTATTATATATTTGTATTTTACGTCATTTTAAATGCTCTTGTTCATTTCTTCGATCTATTTTTATTACCACATTTTTTTTATCCGATTAATTGATGGAATAATCGGTAGAATACTCGATTACTAAAATAATCAATAGCTGCAGCCCTGTATGTGAGTGAGTGTTTAACTGAGTAAGTGTGTGTGTGTATGTGTGTGTGTGTCTCTCTCATCAACACTCTTATTATTTATTGTGTCCCTTTTATCGGTGGATATGATATTACAAAACCGATATCCGATGCCGTGATTGTAAAAATATCAGTAAAAAGTGTGTGTAAACTCACTTTAAACAGTAGTGTAAACTCACACTGTCCTGTAATAGAGTCATGTGTGATGAGTTGTGTGTTTCTTCCTCACTGTGTCGAGATAATGAAAGCGATGAACTATCATGAAGGGCTGCTTTAGCTAACGGCTCTCTTTAATGAGCTTAGCTGAGATAATGAAGCGCTTCATGAGCTAAGTAATGGGCTTTGTTCTGCTGCGTCCGGCTCACAGTTAGCAGGACGCTAGCTCCTTGTGCGCTTAAACTCTGTGTCTGATCTTTGCTCTCAGTGGACTTCCGGTCGTCTCTGGATGGAGGAGTCTGTGCTCAGGACAACACACTCAAGTCTCTAACGCTTCCTCCCAAAAAAAACCTCACCTTCCATGGTGACCTTCAGGAACCCCCCGCCAAACCTCAGCTCATCCACAAACAGCCCCCCGCCCTGCCGCCCAAACCCTTCTCCAGACTAACCAATCACAGCACAGGTGAGACTCGCACCTCCTACAGACTGACCAATCACAGCACAGGTGAGACACAGACTGACCAGTCACAGCACAGGTGAGACTCGCACCTCCTACAGACTGACCAATCACAGCACAGGTGAGACACAGACTGACCAGTCACAGCACAGGTGAGACACACACCTCCTACAGACTGACCAATCACAGCACAGGTGAGACACAGACTGACCAGTCACAGCACAGGTGAGACACACACCTCCTACAGACTGACCAATCACAGCACAGGTGTGAGAGACACCTCCTACAGACTGACCAGTCACAGCACAGGTGAGACACACACCTCCTACAGACTGACCAATCACAGCACAGGTGTGAGAGACACCTCCTACAGACTGACCAGTCACAGCACAGGTGAGACACACACCTCCTACAGACTGACCAATCACAGCACAGGTGAGACACACCTCCTACAGACTGACCAATCACAGCACAGGTTTGAGACACACCTCCTACAGACTGACTAATCACAGCACAGGTGAGACACACCTCCTACAGACTGACCAATCACAGCACAGGTGAGACACACCTCCTACAGACTGACTAATCACAGCACAGGTGAGACTCACACCTCCTACAGACTGACTAATCACAGCACAGGTGAGACACACCTCCTACAGACTGACCAATCACAGCACAGGTGAGACACACCTCCTACAGACTGACCAATTACAGCACAGGTGTGAGACACCTCCTACAGACTGACTAATCACAGCACAGTTGTGAGACACACCTCCTACAGACTGACTAATCACAGCACAGGTGAGACTCACACCTCCTACAGACTGACCAATCACAGCACAGGTGTGAGACACACCTCCTACAGACTGACTAATCACAGCACAGTTGTGAGACACACCTCCTACAGACTGACTAATCACAGCACAGTTGTGAGACACACCTCCTACAGACTGACTAATCACAGCACAGGTGAGACACACCTCCTACAGACTGACCAATCACAGCACAGTTGTGAGACACACCTCCTACAGACTGACCAATCACAGCACAGGTGTGAGAGACACCTCTTACAGACTGACTAATCACAGCACAGGTGAGACACACTTCTTACAGACTGACCAATCACAGCACAGGTGAGACTCACACCTCCTACTGACTGACCAATCACAGCGCAAGTGAGACACAGACTGACCAATCACAGCACAAGTGAGACACAGACTGACCAATCACAGCACAAGTGAGACACAGACTGACCAATCACAGCACAAGTGTGACAGACTGACCAATCACAGCACAAGTGAGACACAGACTGACCAATCACAGCACAAGTCTGACAGACTGACCAATCACAGCACAAGTGTGACACAGACTGACCAATCACAGCACAAGTGTGACAGACTGACCAATCACAGCACAAGTGTGACACAGACTGACCAATCACAGCACAAGTGAGACACAGACTGACCAATCACAGCACAAGTGTGACAGACTGACCAATCACAGCACAAGTGTGACAGACTGACCAATCACAGCACAAGTGAGACACAGACTGACCAATCACAGCACAAGTGAGACACAGACTGACCAATCACAGCACAAGTGAGACACAGACTGACCAATCACAGCACAAGTGTGACAGACTGACCAATCACAGCACAAGTGTGACACAGACTGACCAATCACAGCACAAGTGTGACAGACTGACCAATCACAGCACAAGTGAGACACAGACTGACCAATCACAGCACAAGTGTGACACAGACTGACCAATCACAGCACAAGTGTGACAGACTGACCAATCACAGCACAAGTGTGACAGACTGACCAATTACAGCACAAGTGAGACACAGACTGACCAATCACAGTACAAGTGTGACACAGACTGACCAATTACAGCAAAAGTGAGACACAGACTGACCAATCACAGCACAAGTGTGACACAGACTGACCAATCACAGCACAAGTGTGACAGACTGACCAATCACAGCACAAGTGAGACTCACAGACTGACCAATCACAGTACAAGTGTGACACAGACTGACCAATTACAGCAAAAGTGAGACACAGACTGACCAATCACAGCACAAGTGTGACAGACTGACCAATCACAGCACAAGTGTGACACAGACTGACCAATCACAGCACAAGTGAGACACAGACTGACCAATCACAGCACAAGTGTGACACAGACTGACCAATCACAGCACAAGTGAGACACAGACTGACCAATCACAGCACAAGTGTGACAGACTGACCAATCACAGCACAAGTGAGACACAGACTGACCAATCACAGCACAAGTGTGACACAGACTGACCAATCACAGCACAAGTGTGACAGACTGACCAATCACAAGTGAGACACAGACTGACCAATCACAGCACAAGTGAGACACAGACTGACCAATCACAGCACAAGTGTGACAGACTGACCAATCACAGCACAAGTGTGACACAGACTGACCAATCACAGCACAAGTGTGACAGACTGACCAATCACAGCACAAGTGTGACACAGACTGACCAACCACAGCACAAGTGAGACACAGACTGACCAATCACAGCACAAGTGTGACACAGACTGACCAATCACAGCACAAGTGTGACAGACTGACCAATCACAGCACAAGTGTGACAGACTGACCAATTACAGCACAAGTGAGACACAGACTGACCAATCACAGCACAAGTGAGACACAGACTGACCAATCACAGCACAAGTGAGACACAGACTGACCAATCACAGCACAAGTGAGACACAGACTGACCAATCACAGTACAAGTGTGACACAGACTGACCAATTACAGCAAAAGTGAGACACAGACTGACCAATCACAGCACAAGTGTGACACAGACTGACCAATCACAGCACAAGTGTGACAGACTGACCAATCACAGCACAAGTGAGACACAGACTGACCAATCACAGCACAAGTGTGACACAGACTGACCAATCACAGCACAAGTGTGACAGACTGACCAATCACAGCACAAGTGTGACAGACTGACCAATTACAGCACAAGTGAGACACAGACTGACCAATCACAGCACAAGTGAGACACAGACTGACCAATCACAGCACAAGTGAGACACAGACTGACCAATCACAGCACAAGTGTGACACAGACTGACCAATCACAGCACAAGTGTGACAGACTGACCAATCACAGCACAAGTGAGACACAGACTGACCAATCACAGCACAAGTGTGACACAGACTGACCAATCACAGCACAAGTGTGACAGACTGACCAATCACAGCACAAGTGTGACAGACTGACCAATTACAGCACAAGTGAGACACAGACTGACCAATCACAGCACAAGTGAGACACAGACTGACCAATCACAGCACAAGTGAGACACAGACTGACCAATCACAGCACAAGTGAGACACAGACTGACCAATCACAGTACAAGTGTGACACAGACTGACCAATTACAGCAAAAGTGAGACACAGACTGACCAATCACAGCACAAGTGTGACACAGACTGACCAATCACAGCACAAGTGTGACAGACTGACCAATCACAGCACAAGTGTGACACAGACTGACCAATCACAGCACAAGTGTGACAGACTGACCAATCACAGCACAAGTGTGACACAGACTGACCAACCACAGCACAAGTGAGACACAGACTGACCAATCACAGCACAAGTGTGACACAGACTGACCAATCACAGCACAAGTGTGACAGACTGACCAATCACAGCACAAGTGTGACAGACTGACCAATTACAGCACAAGTGAGACACAGACTGACCAATCACAGCACAAGTGAGACACAGACTGACCAATCACAGCACAAGTGAGACACAGACTGACCAATTACAGCAAAAGTGAGACACAGACTGACCAATCACAGCACAAGTGTGACACAGACTGACCAATCACAGCACAAGTGTGACAGACTGACCAATCACAGCACAAGTGAGACACAGACTGACCAATCACAGCACAAGTGTGACACAGACTGACCAATCACAGCACAAGTGTGACACAGACTGACCAATCACAGCACAAGTGTGACACAGACTGACCAATCACAGCACAAGTGTGACACAGACTGACCAATCACAGCACAAGTGTGACAGACTGACCAATCACAGCACAAGTGTTACACAGACTGACCAATCACAGCACAAGTGAGACACAGACTGACCAATCACAGCAAAAGTGTGACAGACTGACCAATCACAGCACAAGTGTGACAGACTGACCAATCACAGCACAAGTGAGACACAGACTGACCAATCACAGCACAAGTGTGACAGACTGACCAATCACAGCACAAGTGAGACACAGACTGACCAATCACAGCACAAGTGTGACACAGACTGACCAATCACAGCACAAGTGTGACAGACTGACCAATCACAGCACAAGTGAGACACAGACTGACCAATCACAGCACAAGTGAGACACAGACTGACCAATCACAGCACAAGTGTGACAGACTGACCAATCACAGCACAAGTGAGACACAGACTGACCAATCACAGCACAAGTGAGACACAGACTGACCAATCACAGCACAAGTGTGACAGACTGACCAATCACAGCACAGGTGAGACTCACACCTCCTACTGACTGACCAATCACAGCACAGGTGACAAACAAACTTTCCTGTTTAATTTTAGAGGATTTGTTGTGGACTGAGGATAACTAAAATAGCCTATAGCTATGTTTATAATGTTTGTAAACATTTCACATTATTTACCGGTATTTTACATTAATGCATTAATAAAATGTGACTTATATGCAATTTATCAGGGGTTTTCTCTCAAAAACGTTAATATGTGTGTATATTGTGTAGCGTATTTTTAGACATGCACGAAATGTTTTCAAAATATCTTAGAAAAATGACTTTTAAATTTCTTAAATGACTTTTTAACTGATAGTATTAACGGGTAACCAGTTCATTATGAGTTCCCGTTACTGGTGTGTGTGTGTGTGTGTGTGTGTGGATGAGCTTTACGCTGTGAGTTAGTCCTGATGAGAAGGGGATGTGATGCTGTATCATGGGGCTGTTCACACCTGGCCAGATCATGTGTTTCTCAGATCTGGTTTATCAAAACCGTTCCATCCACACCGGGTCACACACATGTGTTTTCATAAATCTGATCTTCAGTTCCTGTGCTATATTAGAGTTCACGTCAGCGAAAGCAACAGATATGAGCTGCACTTCATTGATCTTTAGTTCATTCTAAGAACGCAATAGGAGAGAGCGGCAACAGCACTAGTACGGTCATTTAGTTCCTTTACTTTTAATGAAGATGATTGTGTGTTAAGCGTCTTGACTTTCACTGTGATCTGCGTTAGTTTGCGCGTTAGCTTGATGACAGATGCTCATCTGTGGCGATGCGTGTTACAGCAGCGTCGTCATATCTGACTATAGCATGACATATAGCCTATATCACTCGCTCTCACACGTTTATTTTTAGCATTTGTGGGAGGAGTAAAATTGACATGTGGTTTCAACAGCCGGCTGCGTTTCCACTTGTGCGGTTTCGCCTGTAGCGCGTCTCAGACCTCCTCCTGATGTGCTGCGAGCGACCGGATTCAAGCCCGTCTGGAATGTGTAAACAGCCCCGTTGAGTTTGAGTCCGAGCTGGTGTTTGAGCTGTGTGTGTGTGTGTTGTGTCCAGACCCGTGTCTGCAGGGCAAGCCGTCTCCTCCTCTTCCTCCGCAGAAGCTGCTGATGTACTCCTCCTCCTCCTCCTCCTCCTCCTCGTTCGGGCCGTACGGGCACCCGCTGCAGTACGGCTCCGCCCACCCGTCCAGCCGCATCATCGACGAGCTGCAGAAGACGCTGGCGCTCGCCCTGCAGAGACTGGAGAGGTGTGTGTGTGTGTGCTCATACACGGATATATATATCGGTCAACATATCGGTATCGGCCGATATAAGTTCATTTGTAATGTTATCGGTATCGGCCTGATTATCGGCATTATAATTGTGTGTTTGGGACATGGATTTTAATGGTGAGACTTTTGTTTTTGTAATCAGGCTCTCAAAAATTAAATAAAAATTTGGATTTAGATTAATCGGCCAATATATCGGTTATCGGCTTTCAGATTTAAAGAATTATCGGTATCTGCCAAAATGTTCATATCGGTGCATCCCTAACACGAATGCTTTGGAATACAGATTTAAGATTAAACTAAAAAAGTTATAGACGTTTAAGTTTATGGTAAAGCAAATGTATTGAACTAAAAAAATTTTTTTTTTATACAAAATATATGTTTTGTAATTCAATATTTAAACATTTTGAGTCTAAAATTGCTATAAAATCAAAGCCACATGTCTAACCAAGTTGATATCACACTATTTTGAAATTGATATCACAAAAATGTAGGTTTCTGTGACTTTTTTTAGGCGCTATACCAAAAACAGCCACCAAAGATAGAGATTTAGATGTATTTCCCTGAATTTACAGTTGAATTAATAGTGCTTAATAGGAGTCTGAAACCACACACTCTCTGAGGACGAACTGCTCTTCAGTCCGTCGCTGCTGTGTGACAGTCGGAGGAAGTAGATCTAGCCGGAAAGTCTCGGTTATTTATAATCTCGGCCTACTCTTTACTCTTTACTTGCGCTCACTCGTTTACCAGAGTCATCTTGACTGCTGAATTGTCAGTAAAAGTAAAAACGTTGAGAGAAAATCACATAAGCTGACTTTATAAATTGATGTTGATTGATTCAAATGGTTTTGTTTGAAGTTAAATAAAGCCAGAAAGTAGTAAAACAAAGCAATTGCTTAATTTATTCATGCTGCAATGCACTCTGGGAGTCAGCATAGCACCTGCGGCTGAGAGTAAGTCCAGTGTCTTCCAATGTTTTGATTACTGAGACTTGTTAGGTTTAAGTTAAGCCGCTTTACATTGTTCTGTAATCCGCTTATGTTATTCCGACATAAAAAATGACCACAGTGCATTTATTTAGTTTGAATATCTTGTAATTGTCAGTGTAACTCTAATACATGTTATTTTAAGGCAAGGCCTCACTCAGGGGCGAGTTCACCATTTTGGCTAGTCCAGGATCTCCACACACACCCCACTCCCCAACATTACCTAACACTTTACTCTGAATTGCTCAACGGTAATAGTGAATATAGTGATAGTTTAAAAATGTATATTCATTAAACTGCATATCAAAAATCGTCTACACTTTGGTACTTGCTCCCTTAAGCTTTATAAACATTCTTGGTTTTGGATTCATCAAGAGTCTTAATTTTGTCCATTGTCTTCAAAATTCATAATTACACACAGTCCATTTAGCTCTGAGAGGACAAACCTCTTGGTTTTAGCTTGAACAGTTGTGTGATATTCCGGTTCTGACTGTATTTTGTCTTTTGAAACGCTTGTATAATGATCATGTTAGATGATGATGTAATAGCTGGAAAGCGATTCGTCGGATTTAAAACACGCAGATGACGCCATGACTCGACCTCGTGTCCTCCAGACACACACACACACACGTGAACATGGCCTGTTTTAATGACATCTGGGAGATTCTGTCCCTCACTGAAACTCGTGAAGCTTCCAGACGTTCATTAAGAATCATGAACTGAGCAGGTGTAATGCAGGCTCATATAAGCATTGATCATGAGCAGCTTTGGTCAGGGAAGCGGTGTTTATATAAACGCGTTCATCAGTTCTGTGGTGTGTGTGTGATCCGCAGCTCTGCGCTCCACACGGGTCAGTACGGCTCTCCTCTGCCCTCGGGTCTGATCGACTGTGACGACGATAAAGAGAACATCCCCAGCGAGTCGGACTATGAGGACCTGCCCAGCATGTACAAGGATGAAGAGCCGGACGAGGACGAGGAGGAGGACGACGACGCTCTCTTCACGAGTGAGTCCTGCAGTGTGTGTGTGTGTGAGTCGGCCGGCTGCAACGATGGGTTATTATGGCCTAGTTCTCGTTTAGAAACGAGCTCACTGGGTCACATCCAGATTCCAGAAACATGACATTAACAGTAAAGATATCATTCTAGAAATCATTGTAAATGTGAAAGAATAGCACAGCACTAATGATGATAAACGGAAGGATATCGTGCGCTGGTGCTGAACACTGATGTAGTTATCGTGTGTGTGTGTGTGTGTGTGTGTGTGCAGGCACGCTGGCGCTGAAGATCTTGAGGAAGGACTCTCTGGCAGTGAAGCTCAGTAACAGGCCGTCTCAGAGAGAACTGCAGGAGAAGAACATCTTACCTGTGCAGACGGACGAGGAGCGCCTGCAGTCCAGACAGCTCATCGGCACCAAACTCACACGGTACACACACACACACTGATGTATGTTGTGACATCACAGGGTTTTTCCTGGGGCAAAACTGGTCTTGGGTGGCGGCAGATGAACACGGTCATCAGTATAAAGAACCCATGTCACCTGTTAACTCTTTACAAGTGAATGCAGAGTTAGTAATATTAAAGTCCCCCTGTAGTCAATCATTGTATCCCTTAAAACTCATCTTTGATCACCAAAATGACACATTTAAAAGTTTTTTCCTTGAAAAAAATTCATGTCTTAAAATATCTTGAATGTAACTCGACACCCTCGCCTCATTTAGTATGCGCGGTTCTATGAATATGCAAATGAGCCCCGCCTCCACTCACTCCCTCAGCTCAGAGATCCACTGGTTGACGATCACACGTTGATCTGATTGGTTACAAGGTCGTTTGTGACGTCAGAAACACCAGCGATTTCACACCGTGTTTTTGAGACTGTCTTTGGTTCACTGCAGTTTTAAGGAGAAAGTACTCAGCAATGCTGTCGACTTATGAATTTACACATGGCTTGTCTTAAAGCATATTAATAACACCACATAGACATATAAACAACATCAAAAGCTTGATTTTTTTTTTTGACTTTAAGTAATCTCATTTATTCGTTTAATAAAAAATTATCTCTGTCAGGACAGATCATTAAAGACCCACTCCGATGAAAATAATGTTTTTCTAGGTGTTAACATGTTCTTGTGGCATTTTTCTTATGTTAGAGGCCATATCTTGAGAAAAATAAGCTCAAAGTTGTATTTCTGAGTATTTCTACATTCAAATGGCTGTGAATCAGTAGCAGATGCTAAAATGCCGTTTAAAATAGACTGGAGTTGTGACGTAGTAACTCCACTGGGCGGGGCCACAAGCTTGTTAAAATTAATCGAAAGTGCCCCTCTCAAACAAATATCAATGATAATATTGTTTTCAATAAAACAAAATGCATTTGATTATAATTAACATGACAATGTGACAAAATTCACGTTTACTTGTATGTTTCTGTCGGTTTGAGCTGTCGTTGCCATGACTCGTTGCTATGGGTTGCGTCACTTGCGTGTCTTGCATCGGACTCGACTGAAGGGGTCAGTCTCCGTTTTCGAGGCCGAGGGTCAGTAATGTGGACGGCAGGAGCGCATAATCGTTGCAAAAGTTATGCGTTTTAAAACGAAAACGCACTGTACGGCTGGATAGCTCCAATATTGCTCTCAATTTTTGTTGCACCGGTTAATGACAGGTTGGGGGTGTAAGCTAGCGGGAGAGACAGAGCTCTCAGCAACGGGGAGGGGGAGGGTCATCTCCGTGCCAACGGCTCCGCCCACAACGCAGAGGCGAATTGCTAATGAGCAACTGCCGCTCTGCTGAAGCAAAGTCCCAGAAAACGGCACAGGTTTTGTGAGTTTGGCTAAAAATGGCATAATCATAATTTAAAGACCACTGGGAATGTTTACAAATAGCTCAAAATATGATCGGAGTGGGACTTTAAACAAAGTGCTTAGAACTATAAAAACTCATGTATGATTACCATGTAAAAAGTCACTGAGTGACTGATTTGAAAAGTTAGTTAACCTCACGCTGACATCGCCCCTGATCGTGTGTGTTGGTCGTGAGGGAATGGTCTAGAAATATTAAATATTGCCCTCTCCATCATTGAAATAGGCCTCGTAACTTCCTTTTCTTTTGAAACGCATGTGCTTGTCGGAGCTGAACGTGTGTGTGTTCAACAGGAGACTGAGCCAGAGACCCACGGCTGAAGAGCTGGAGCAGAGGAACATCCTCAAACGTGAGTCATGTTCACTCCATCACACGCCGTGTGCTAACCAGACGCGCGGAGACAAGATTCCAGCGACAACAGTGTGTGTGTCCACATCAGCACTCACAACCAAATCAGTCCAAAATCACATCCAATCAGAAGAGTGTGTGGGCGGAGTCTCTCTGCAAGCACACTGCACTCACAACCAAATCAAACCAAAATCAATACAGCCAATCAGAAGAGTGTGTGGGCGGAGTCTCTCTGCAAGCGCAATGCACTCACAACCAAATCAAACCAAAATCACAGCCAATCAGAAGAGAGTGTGGGCGGAGTCTCTCTGTAAGCGCACTGCACTCACAACAAAATCAAACCAAAATCACAGCCAATCAGAAGAGAGTGTGGGCGGAGTCTCTCTGCAAGCGCAATGCACTCACAACCAAATCATTCCAAAATCACAGCCAATCAGAAGAGCGTGTGGGCGGAGTCTCTCTGTAAACGCACTGCACTTACAACCAAATCATTCCAAAATCAGAGCCAATCAGAAGAGCGTGTGGGCGGAGTCTCTCTGCAAGCGCACTGCACTCACAACCAAATCAATCCAAAATCACAGCCAATCAGAAGAGTGTGTGGGCGGAGTCTCTCTGTAAACGCACTGCACTCACAACCAAATCAATCCAAAATCACAGCCAATCAGAAGAGCGTGTGGGCGGAGTCTCTCTGTAAACGCACTGCACTCACAACCAAATCATTCCAAAATCAGAGCCAATCAGAAGAGTGTGTGGGCGGAGTCTCTCTGCAAGCACACTGCACTCACAACCAAATCAATCCAAAATCACAGCCAATCAGAAGAGTGTGTGGGTGGAGTCTCTCTGTAAACGCACTGCACTCACAACCAAATCATTCGAAAATCACAACCAATCAGAAGAGCGTGTGGGCGGAGTCTCTCTGTAAACGCACTGCACTCACAACCAAATCATTCGAAAATCACAACCAATCAGAAGAGCGTGTGGGCGGAGTCTCTCTGTAAACGCACTGCACTCACAACCAAATCATTCGAAAATCACAACCAATCAGAAGAGTGTGTGAAACAGAATTGTTGTCGCATCTGATTAGGACACGGTGTTCAGTCTGTTGCTCATGAAGGAGTGTTTGTTTCTCCTCTGACCGGTTTCTGTCCCACAGCTCGTAATGAGCAGGAGCAGATGGAGGAGAAGAGAGAGATCCGACGCCGACTCTCACGCAAGGTATGATGGGTGCCTGAGTGTGAGTGTGTATGTGTGTGTGTGTGTGTGTGTATCTCTCACTCAGTGTGTGTGAATGTGTTTCAGCTGAGTCAGAGGCCCACGGTGGAGGAGTTACGGCGAGCCAAGATCCTCATCCGCTTCAATGATTACGTGGAGGTGTCGGACGCTCAGGATTACGACCGGCGCACAGACAAGCCCTGGACGAGACTCACCACGGCCGACAAGGCGAGTTTCACCACTCTGTGTAACATATGAATGTCGTTTTTAATTGATCCTCGTTTTGATTAACTGAGATCTTTTAGTCTATGCTGCTCTCAGTTGATTAGATTTCAGTTGATTATTTGTCTCTTTTCACAGTAAACGCTGCTCATGATCTGTTATCCTTTACATGCGTCTCAAACTCTCTCTCTGCATATGCTGTGTGTTTGTGTGGCTTATAATGTTCATCTGGGAACCCAGTGTGTCCCATTTCACCAGATTTGTAACGTAAATCATTTATAAACCTACGCATATTTTTGCATATTTAGACACGGTGATGTATTCTCCTGTGTTGGCTTAGGTTTATAAATGATTTACGTTACAAATCTGGTGAAATGGCGCACGTTGCGTTCCCAGATTAACATTATAAGACACACAAACACACAGCATATGCAGAGAGAGAGTTTGAGACGCATGTAATCGATAACAGTTCATGAGCAGCGTTTAAATGAGACACGTGTCCTACACGTATGTCAATCATCTAAACCTGTGCACACATCTGAACCTGTGCACATCTGAACCTGTGCACACATCTAAACCTGTGCACACATCTAAACCTGTGCACACATCTGAACCTGTGCACATCTGAACCTGTGCACATCTAAACCTGTGCACACATCTAAACCTGTGCACACATCTAAACCTGTGCACACATCTGAACCTGTGCACATCTAAACCTGTGCACACATCTAAACCTGTGCACACATCTAAACCTGTGCACACATCTGAACCTGTGCACATCTAAACCTGTGCACACATCTAAACCTGTGCACACATCTAAACCTGTGCACACATCTGAACCTGTGCACATCTAAACCTGTGCACACATCTAAAGCTGTGCACACATCTGAACCTGTGCACATCTAAACCTGTGCACATCTGAACCTGTGCACACATCTAAACCTGTGCACACATCTAAACCTGTGCACACATCTGAAGCTGTGCACATCTAAACCTGTGCACATCTGAACCTGTGCACACATCTAAACCTGTGCACACATCTAAACCTGTGCACACATCTGAACCTGTGCACACATCTAAACCTGTGCACACATCTGAACCTGTGCACATCTAAACCTGTGCACATCTGAACCTGTGCACACATCTGAACCTGTGCACATCTAAACCTGTGCACATCTAAACCTGTGCACATCTAAACCTGTGCACATCTGAACCTGTGCACACATCTAAACCTGTGCACATCTGAACCTGTGCACACATCTAAACCTGTGCACACATCTAAACCTGTGCACACATCTGAACCTGTGCACACATCTGAACCTGTGCACACATCTGAACCTGTGCACATCTAAACCTGTGCACATCTAAACCTGTGCACATCTAAACCTGTGCACATCTGAACCTGTGCACACATCTGAACCTGTGCACACATCTGAACCTGTGCACACATCTGAACCTGTGCACATCTAAACCTGTGCACATCTAAACCTGTGCACATCTAAACCTGTGCACATCTGAACCTGTGCACACATCTAAACCTGTGCACATCTGAACCTGTGCACACATCTAAACCTGTGCACATCTAAACCTGTTCACATCTGAACCTGTGCACACATCTGAACCTGTGCACATCTGAACCTGTGCACACATCTGAACCTGTGCACACATCTAAACCTGAGCACATCTAAACCTGTGCACACATCTGAACCTGTGCACACATCTAAACCTGTGCACATCTAAACCTGTGCACACATCTGAACCTGTGCACACATCTGAACCTGTGCACATCTACACCTGTGCACACATCTAAACCTGTGCACACATCTGAACCTGTGCACACATCTGAACCTGTTCACATCTAAACCTGTGCACACATCTGAACCTGTGCACACATCTGAACCTGTGCACACATCTGAACCTGTGCACACATCTGAACCTGTGCACATCTACACCTGTGCACACATCTAAACCTGTGCACACATCTAAACCTGTGCACACATCTGAACCTGTGCACATCTAAACCTGTGCACACATCTGAACCTGTGCACACATCTAAACCTGTGCACACATCTAAACCTGTGCACACATCTGAACCTGTGCACATCTGAACCTGTTCACATCTGAACCTGTGCACACATCTGAACCTGTGCACACATCTAAACCTGTGCACACATCTAAACCTGTGCACACATCTGAACCTGTGCACACATCTGAACCTGTGCACACATCTGAACCTGTGCACATCTAAACCTGTGCACACATCTAAACCTGTGCACACATCTAAACCTGTGCACACATCTAAACCTGTGCACACATCTGAACCTGTGCACATCTAAACCTGTGCACATCTGAACCTGTGCACACATCTGAACCTGTGCACACATCTGAACCTGAGCACATCTGAACCTGTGCACACATCTGAACCTGTGCACACATCTGAACCTGTGCACACATCTGAACCTGTGCACACATCTAAACCTGTGCACACATCTAAACCTGTGCACACATCTAAACCTGTGCACACATCTAAACCTGTGCACACATCTGAACCTGTGCACATCTGAACCTGTGCACATCTAAACCTGTGCACACATCTAAACCTGTGCACACATCTAAACCTGTGCACACATCTAAACCTGTGCACACATCTAAACCTGTGCACACATCTAAACCTGTGCACACATCTGAACCTGTGCACACATCTGAACCTGTGCACACATCTGAACCTGTGCACACATCTGAACCTGTGCACACATCTAAACCTGTGCACATCTGAACCTGTGCACATCTGAACCTGTGCACACATCTGAACCTGTTCACATCTAAACCTGTTCACATCTGAACCTGTGCACACATCTGAACCTGTGCACATCTGAACCTGTGCACAACCTGTGAACTACCTTTGGACAAACTGTTCTGTCTATCAGAGGAGGTCATTTTTGGAACAGCATCCCAACAAACAAACATTAGGGAATGTCCCACTTACTGTACATTTAAAATGCACCTTAACCCTCTGGGGACCAAGGGGTTTTTGGGGCCCTTGGGATGTTTTGACATGCACTGACATTTGTGCTTTTTCAGTTATTTATAAACATGTTAATGGCAAAGGTGTAAATTCATAGCCTGGTTCTACCAGACTCTCGTACATTTCATTTGTACAGAGAGTCTGGCACCGCTCCATTGACAATCGTTAACTTCCTTGTAGGCGGGTACTCTATTGAAGTCTAAAACTATTGGATCTGCCCAGAGTCACTCTGGATCTGCCACCAATCGCTAACGTTTGCTCGTGATGTATGTCGAATCCCGTGGGGAGGAGGGCGACAACATCATGGCCAAAACAAAACTAAGCAAAGATTGTTCATGCTCCGGCTTTAACTTCTTAATATTTGGCAGCGTTGCTACAACGGACCGAATGGCTTAGCTCGCATCTTTCTCCGCTGCCATTACTGAACTACAACTCAAAATAACGCACGACGTCATCGTTCTCAGCCACTCCCTCTGTTCGCTGATTGGCCCTACAAAAAATTGATCGGAGAAAACCAAAGTCTACAGTAGAATCCCAGACGTAGTACTGAAGGAAAATGAAATTGAGCGGAAGTGCGTAGGAGGGCGCAGCCAGGCTAGTAAATTCACTCTATATAGCACAAACGGGGCTGCCATAATATGTGAGCAACATGTATGTACATGTTTGTATTTTTGAGAGAATATTATTTATGCATGGTTATTGAAAAACTTAAAAATAAAAGTTTCTGAAATAAGGCCACAAAACACATATTGATTATTTCTTCACAAGACTTTTGAAAATTGTATCACATAGCCTAGAATATTTGCACAAACTATGTGAGAATCATCCTGACTACTCATTCAGATAAGTCAATAAAGTCTTTTAGAATGTGTATGACGTATTTAGTGTGAGAAAGCTTTATGCGAGGAGGCGTGATCTCTCATTAATATGTATGGCATTTCACACCTGAGAAAGACAAAGACCCTCCCATAATGGCCCTATTAGGTGCTATCAGGCCCTTATGAGGAGCCTTGCACAAAGAATGAGGAGATTTAAAAAAGAATGGCTTTTAGATTGTTTGGATTTATTTACAACACAACATAATCCAAAGATACACAACAAAGGACAAAAAAGCACATTAGTAAACACACTGATCTAAAGACAGAGGCTTGCACAGTCACACAGCATTGTCCCATTCCTGAAACATAGTACATACCTGTCATTTCCAAGGTGTTTGATTTTTCATTACAGTCTCCTGTGAATGTTGAACTCAGCAGGACTCATCAGTGGCATATCGTCCCTGTAAAAAAAAAAATAAACACCTGTGAACATGCTGATATCAAGAGAAACTATATGGCTGCACGACTTTGGGCATGCATTGTAGATTTTTCTGGTTAAAATTGCTTTTTAATTATATATACACACACACACACACACACACTGCTTAGAATAAGTGAACACACCCATGCTAAAGTTGACTGAAAAGAGGAATAAAAAATCTTAATGCCTTAATTTAAAAAATGAGGAAAACTCCAACCTTTAGGGACGTGAATAATGTCCCTGAATTCTTTGTGAATGAATAATGTATCGCAAATAATTAAATATTCTTCTTTAAAATACAGGGTGCATACGTCTGGACACTTCTATCACACACCCTTCACCATATAGACATGGTTTTATTTCAGTTCAAAGTTAGAGTTGGAAACATCTTGAAAAGAAAATGGTATTTTTCCATAAATGTCTTAGTTTGATCATACATATTTCAAAGTTGAGGATTCATTATTTTGATATAGCTTGCATTGGAACAAACATCTTAGTTGATTAGTTTATTGACAAAACATACTATATATTTAACATATGAGCAGAAACTCCTAACAAAAGCTTATTTGATGTCTTTATTTTGAAGCTTATTTGATTTGAAAAACTTTATCCAAAACTAGTCAACGAAATGTTGTCTTATTTCGTCTGTAACAGTGCGTATCTGTGCGTTCATTCATTCATTCACACACACACACACACACACACACACACACAGAAACATGATTCACATTTAAACAGTATGCTATTTTTCCGTTTACTGACACTAACGTTATTCTATATCGCGATTAGAACAAAGCACAAAACACTTACACTTCTCAGCTGAATCTGTTGCTCCTCCTCGAAGTGAAAATAAACCATCACTTGTTCTGTGGTAAATGTCCCAGGGTTATCCCTCATAGCCGCGCAAGATGAATCTTAATCTGACTAAAAAATATAGTGTGTTTACAGAGTTTATAGCATTTGCCTGGGGGCGTTTATCTATTTTGCAAATGGCCTCAACACATTATCTTATGAATAGCGCCCTCTGCGAGTGGGTGTGAACAAATTAACGATAATGAGCTGAGACAGGAGAAACTGTACTTCTCTTTAGTTTCAGACAGATTACATTGCAGGAGAATATTTATTTTAAATGTGAATTGTTTTATTTAAAAGTAGAAATTTAAAGCGTTCTTTAGACGTATGTTTCATGTTTGTGTGATAAGTATTAGCGGAGTTTCCGTTCATTTTCCAGGCATGTTTCAGAAAGATTTTTGCGGAGACAGAGTGAGCTGAAAGAAAAAAAAGGTTTTGATGTTAATGTGAGTGTACACAAAAAAAGAAGACCCTATAGTTTATTATCATGTATTGATTTGATTTATATGACCATAAATGACGGAGTATTTTAAGTCTATGTTGCTGCTATGTGAAAAAAAAACAGCAAAACGTTATTGTGTTGCATTATTTCATATGTTGTTGTTTTCCTGCCTCAGGTCTACAGGTGAAAATTAGCATTTATGCTATAACCTGGCTCATTTACAGTCTGTACAGAAATGTTAAGATTGTTCATTAATGTGCACTGTCCTGAATAAAAATAAAAAAATAAAAAAAATCACATCTGAAGGGCTTTAAACACGTCGAACTAACTAAACCTGCTCTAGCTTCAGCTCAGCAAACTCTGTTACTAGCATTACTAGCGTGTGTGTGTGTGTGTTGTGCTGCAGGCCGCCATCAGGAAAGAGCTGAATGATTTCAAGAGCAATGAGATGGAGGTGCACGAGTCCAGCCGGCATCTGACCAGGTGAACACACACACACACACATACACACACACACACACACACACACACACACACACACACACACACCAGACTCTCTCTCTCTCTCTCTCTCTCGCACACACACAGTTTTAAATATTTACAGAGCAATGAAGTGCAACATTTTTACATGATATTGATTTCATACAAACAATAAAGAGCTATATTTTTAAAAAAATTAATCTCAACATTATTTATGCAGTTGTAATGGACCAATTCAGATGCAGTTTTGCAACGCAAAGATGAATTTTATAATGTAAATGTCATCATAGCCATTCAACATAACATTATAACTATGGCTGGGCAATAAACAATAACGATAATTATCGCAATATAATTTTCCTCTAAATAACAATAACACGAGTTTGATAAATGTTCGATATAATGTTAATGTGGCAAAAGCGGAATGAAACTGCAGCGCAGAAGAATTCATATCGAATTTTATTACATTATTAATGTAGACATGTATTGAAGAAGTATTGGAATATAATTTGTATAACATTTGTGCATTTATACTAAATGTATTTAGGCTAGTTTTTCCAATGCCCGCTCCCGTGTGTGTCTCATGAGTCGCCACAACCTGCGTAATATGCGTTTACTACAAAAATAGTTTACAAATATGCAGATTTCACGTGGCGTTTTCGCTCGTAACTTCATAAAACATGGACGGATCGCAGAACATCGCTCATCATTATTTACAGCAGGTTCTCATGATTAAAAACACGATCACGAGACTTCCTCACGTACATGGCTGAACACATGTGTCATCTCTCCGGGACGCAGTTATCCAATGTTCCCGAACCAAGTGTTGAGTCCCTCTAAACTCGCGCCACCTAGTGACGAAAACATTAATAATCATATTTTTCCAAAACCTTGATCAACACAAAATATGTGTCATTTGAAAGCTTAGAACTTAACAATGAATGTAGCCTATTTGATTAACTCCCAAGTAGTGCGGAGTTATTTGCTGCTAAATAGAAAATTCATAATTTATGAAATATTATTTTGTACTATGTACTGTAATTCAAAAACATCATACGGCTCAGATAGTCGTGTCTCATGTCATTTGAAAGGTCTCACGGAGTGAAACACGACATGTGTAATTGTTTAGGGCTTTGAATAAACTTGAGCGAAGCCCTGCGAGACCCATATGTACATAATAAACTGATTGAGTCCAAAATTAATAAAATAATCCTTTACATCGATCATAAGATATTCCTCATGGAGGAACCATTTTAAAAATTGCCACTAGGAGGCGTCGAGGACTGAGCAGAATATGATCCAGATGCGGCTCACGTCTGGGGGAACCTCCCAAACTATAGACTTATTCCCTTCCTCAGTTACTGCATGTCAAATGAGAAAGATAAGTACAATTATAATAAAAGTTATATATATATTTTCAACAGTTTCTCAGCATGAGAATGTCCAAATGTAATTTATGTGTGTTCTAAAAATGTAAAAAGTCTTCCATCAAACCATACGTATCTTTTGCCCCAGCTCCTGAGTGACTGCGTTACACAACACTAATGAAACCTTTAACTCTGTGAATGCCATAGTCTGATCGGTCACTGAACAGTGAGTTTGAGCGGGTGGAGGTGTGTGTGACGCTGCTGTGTGTGTGCAGGTTTCACCGGCCGTAGAGACGAGCGACGATGATGATGATGATGATGATGACTCTTCACTGATTCTCAGATCTGGGAACGCACGATACACACGTCACCATCCACAGGGACACATTCAGGACACCCCCGCTCTGACTGAAGCTTGCAGTGTGTGTGTGCAGTTCATACCGCTGGACATCGTCTGCATCGATGAAGTCGTCATGATGTCTGTCAGCACAATGGCCTGAATGTGATTTTTTTTTGTGTGTGGTTTTTATTCATTTTGATTTGTATTTATTTTTTTATTTTTAACATCTTTTTTACTGTTTATTGCAGAATCAAACACTAGAAAATGTTTTTCCAGGCTTCAAGCGCAGTGACGCATCCGTTGACCTTTAATAAAGGAAATGAGCAGTTTAAAGCTGACGGACGGCTGGTTCAGGTGTGTGTGTGTGTGTGTGTGTTTAATGCGGACGGACATCCAGTTCAGGTGTGTGTGTGTGTGTGTGTGTGTGTGTGTGTGTGTGTGTGTGTGTTAATGCTGACGGACAGCCGGTTCAGGTGTGTGTGTGTGTGTGTGGGTGTGTGTTTAATGCTGACGGACAGCCGGTTCAGGTGTGTGTGTGTGTGTGTGTGTGTTTAATGCGGACGGACATCCGGTTCAGGTGTTTGCATGTGTGTGTGTGAGTGTGTGTTTAATGCTGACGGACAGCCGGTTCAGGTGTGTGTGTGAGTGTGTGTTTAATGCTGACAGACGGCCGGTTCAGATGTGTGTGTGTCACACACTGCAGAAACAGATGCTCTTCCTTTAGTATGTTTAGTTTTCCAGCACAGTCCTAAAGTAAGAGATGTACTTGACATGCTCATTGACTTCAGACAGTAAGTCTTGTTTTCTAGTTTTGCTGAAATAAGAACACAGTGTCTGTCAGTAAGGTATATGAATGAATAATACTCTTGTTTTCCCTTTGAATTAAGATGATTAAGACTCCATTGGCAGATGTGTGTTCTTGTTTTACGCTTTCAACTCACTTAAAGGATTAGTTCACTTTAAAAAAAACTTTTGCTGATAATTTACTCACCCCCATGTCATCCAAGATGTCCATGTCTTTCTTTCTTCAGTCGAAAAGAAATTAATGTTTTTGATGAAAACATTCCAGGATTTTTCTCCATATAATGCACTTTGCTGGGTACCAAACGGTTCAAGGTCCAAAAGACAGTTTCAGTGCAAACTACAAACTGTTCAAAGGGCTTTAAACGATTCCAGACGATGAATAAGGGTCTTATCAAGCGAAACGATCGCTCATTTAAAAAATAAATAACAAAGTTTAAGTTTTATAAGCTCAAATGCCCGCCTTGTTCTGTTCTGTGTGACTCTCCTGTTCGAACTCGTTCATCAAAATGAACAAATCTTTTTCCGAGTCAGATTGACTCGGAAAAAGATTGACTCTGAAACTGTCTTTTGGCCTTGAACCGTTTGGTGCCCAGCAAAGTGCATTATATGGAGAAAAATCCTGGAATGTTTTCATCAAAAACCTTAATTTCTTTTCGACTGAAGAAAGAAAGACATGGACATCTTGGATGACATGGGGGTGAGTAAATTATCAGCAAAAGTTTTTTTAAAAGTGAACTACTCCTTTAAGTTTGATCTTTCAGAAAACAAGCCTTAACCCTCGAGAGTGTAGAAGCCACTGTGATGTACCAGTGCGGCTCTCTCTCTCTCTCTCTCTCTCTCTCTCTCTCTCTCTCTCTCTCTCTCTCTCGCTCTCGCTCTCTCGCTCTCTCGCTCTCTCTCTCTCTCTCTCTCTCTCTCTCTCTCTCTCTCTCTCTCTCTCTCTCTCTCTCTCTCTCTCTCTCTCTCTCTCTCTCTCTCGCTCGCCTCGCTCGCTCGCTCGCTCGCTCGCTCGCTCTCTCTCTCTCTCTCTCTCTCTCTCTCTCTCTCTCTCTCAGATGGGCTGATATGATGGTTTCACGTCCAGCTGATGATCAGACTCTGCATGCACTTTAACAGTGTGTTTGATTTATTTGTGCTTGGGTTGAGTTATTGATCCCTGAGATGGTCAAGCTGAGGCCAGTCCTGAAGAGTGGCCATCATCATCATGAGTTCATCAGCCGCTAGCATGAGCTGGAGGTTCTCCAGGAGAGTTCAGCGGGAGCTTCAGATGTGGAGATGCACTGAGCTCCAACACTGGCACAAGAACAAACATCCGTCACCGAGCCGAGCCCACGCGGAGAGATTGGACTTTTTTAAGGAACTTAATCATCTTTTTAACAATGGTGTGATTTTGAAAACTTTGTAGAAATTGCATGACTTTATATGAGGGTGCGACGCCCCGTCCTGACCAGCGTCATGTGACCAGCTGTCCGAGGGACGTCATGATTCAGCAATAAAACTGACCTTATTTACAGCGACTCTGTGTGTGTGTGTGTGTGTGTGTGTGTACACCTATCTAACGGGACCGTGGTGTCGTTACACACTCGCCAGCGGGACCGCCGAGACAAGAGGGGACAGGTTTCAGGTGGGTCATGCTTTAAATCATGTTAAAATCAAGTAAAAAAAAACACTGCTGATTTATTTAAAAAAAAACATTGACCAGGTGGGTACCTACAGGGGTGTGTGTGTGTGTGTGTGTGTGTTTAACGAATTCAAAAGTGCAAATAAGTCCGATAGAATACATGTATTTGGCAATGTAAGTATTTATTTGTGGTACTTTCTTGTGAAAAATATTTTCCTAAAAAAATGCAAGATATTTGATTACAAAAAAGATTACGGTTATGTCCCTTAGAACTAAGCCCCGTCACGCCAACTATTCTCCGCCTATCATGATGTAGACTCCACCCATGTGTGACATCAATTCCCAGAAATGACATCATTCAGGTCTTTAACTGCTGCAGAAGATGGTTAGTAGGGGGGGGCGGGCCAAGATGGCGACCTGGGTAGACGCTTTCCTGTGAGCTAATTTAAGTTTACATGTTTGATTAGATGTATTGTTTTACCGGGAATATGTTCAGTTCATACCTTGGGTTAAGTTCTCCTACTAAGGCATTTATTGTCTACTGTATAGCACAATCATATTGATGTGATTACCTATGTTCGAAATTAGCATACTGCACTACGAGTACTAGTAGTTAAATAACCTATTTCTACAGTGGCACAGTTACTTGCTTAATTAAGCAATTTATTCACTTCTTTATATTAAAAAGAGAAAGAAATGAGTTTTCAATTTCATAAGGTACTCCATATTTAGAGTTCTTGTTTGAGAGTATCTACTTGTGTATCTATATCTCAACACTTTACAAGTTCCTGTTTATTTACAGACTTCTAGTTCACTTTATTTTAGTTTTCTATGACAGATTTCCATTTCAGTTCCTTAAAAATAATATCCCTTAATGTTAGAGGTATCCGTGACAGCACCAAAAGAAAATCTATTTTTATTTTTTGTAGACGAAAAAATGCAGATTTAATCCTTTTGCAAGAGACTCACTCAAGTGAAAATGATGTGAAATTTTGGAAAGCACAATGGGGTGATCAGTGTTATTTCTGTCATGCCTCTCAACAATCTGCTGGTGTAGCTATTCTCCTCAACAAATTTAAAGGTATTATTATTGAATCATTATTTTCAGATGAGGGTAGATGGATTATTTTAGTTAAATTAAATTGAAGAAACTAAAAGAAGAAATAGATCATACATATATTAATATGGCTAAAGGAGCCTTCATAAGGTCAAGAGCAAAATGGTTGGAATTAGGCGAAAAGAACTCTAGCTACTTTTTTGCCCTAGAGAAACGAAATCAAAAAAGAAACAATATCTCTGCACTCAAGATTGATGATGTCATAACCACTAATCATTTGGACATTTCAAAATATGTTTATTCATTCTACAGTAACATATACAAATCAAATTCCCAAATCAATGATTGTGATAAGTTTATTGAATTAATTAAAAAATATACACCAACCATTTCAGAGCCCTTCAAAACTAATTGTGAACGACCCATCACAAAATCAGAAATATCAGAAGCAATCCAATCAATGAAAAAAGGAAAATCTCCAGGCAACGACGGCCTCTCGGTTGAATTCTATTTACATTTTTGGAATATTATTGTGGATCCTTTATTGGAATTATTTAAGGAATGTCAAGATAGGAAAGAAATGTCAACAAGTATGAAACAGGGTATTATAACGCTAATCCCTAAACCGGAAAAAGATCACCTTATGATAGAAAATTGGAGACCTATTACGCTCCTAAATATAGATTACAAAATTATCTCATTGGTATATGCTAAAAGGTTAAAAAAAGATCTTGGAGAAATCATCGCCGAAACTCAAACTGGATTTATGTCCAACCGTCATATTAGTTCCAACATAAGGCTTGTTCTTGACTTATTAGACTACTCTGAAAACATTGATAATGACTCCCTTATAGTTTTTCTTGATTTTTACAAGGCTTTTGATACGGTGGAATATCATTTTTTGTTTAAAGCACTTCAAACCTTTGGTTTTGGTCAAAATTTTATTTCAACAATTGAAATGTTTTATAAAAATATTGACAGTTGTGTCATACTATATCCAAACACTACCAAAAGATTTCCAGTGCTGAGATCCGTCCGTCAAGGCTGTCCGATTTCTCCCTTTTTATTTTTGATTGTTGTTGAATTGCTCTCATTACATATTTTAAAGAACCCAATAATTCAAGGTTTGTCTATTTTTGGAAAGGAAATTAAACTGACCCAACTAGCTGATGATACAGCATTATTCTTAAAGGACAAACATCAGATTGGGAAAGCTGTAGCATTAATAGACGAATTCTCAGCTGCTTCTGGACTAAAATTGAATAAATCTAAATGCGAAATTTTATGTCTGTTTGAAACAAACGATAAAACCATATATAATATGCCTGTTAAAAATTGTATTAGATATCTCGGTGTTTTTGTTTGTAAGAATGTTATAGAGCGCCAACGATTTAACTTCTCCCCCAAAATGAAAAAATCTAAAACTATATTGAACCTATGGCTTCAAAGAGACTTATCAATCTTAGGTAGGGTCCTTTTGACTAAGGCTGAAGGAGTTTCTAGATTTGTGTATCCAGCACT